ATAGGCATTTAAGGCTAGTTTGAGCATGCGGTCAGCTACGATACTGTAACTAGCAAACTTTTGTCATTATTTGTGGATACACTTTTTCCACACTTCTCTTTATCTTTTGCAAATATTCTTATTCTTACCCAGAGTATTGCCTCTGTGGCTCCACCGATGAGTCATCTAACTCAACCAATGAGATTGTTTCTCCTTCCGGAGCAGCTCTGCCGGAAAGGTTTGTAGGACTGATGTTGTGCTTGTATCATGTGGAAATGGAAGAGAGCAATAAGAGCAAAGGATTTCTGTTACAGCTTACAAGCATTCAAATTATCCGATGGTTCACGTTCACAATTGTTACTGATTTGCACTTTTAAGTAATAGTTATTCAGCAATGAGCTGCAGTTTATTTTACTGTTCGGGTGCAAAACAATTAATAATAATTTATATTTGCAACATTAGCATTGAATTAGTCACTGTGAAGGAGCCATTCATGTTTGCTTTTCGAGCAATTCTATATTATTTAGCAACAAGTCTGATCAATTGGAGCTTTCAGAAAAGCTAATTTTACATCCATCTGATATGAATGTGACAAAGAGCATCAACCTGCCTCCCAGAAATTATGTTTTCATTTTGTTGGAGAAAAAAGCAGACAATGACATAATGGTGGCTTGACCTTGTGGCTGAAAATCTTTATTCAAACATGCCGTAACACCTCCCCCCTTTTCAGTCGTCCTCCTAACAACAGAAGCCGGCAGTGTGAAATGCTGTATGGACTGCAGCGTATCTCTACAGATCTCAATGTCAGCTGGATTCACGCAAATGTCAAAGCTCATATACCGCCCTTTCTTGTTTTTCAATGATAGAAGTAACAGAAAAGCATTATTTTAACATGCAGAAGGCTGAAGATGGGTCCAGATGTGAGGAGTCTTACAGTTTTTTGTTGTTGATGCATGTGCTTTCATTGTGTATTTGCGACAGAAAAGCCAGAGAAAAGGAATGAATCCTCAAATTATTTTGGTTCCTCAGAGAAACAAGTTTGTCTTCCAGTTAGTGCCAACAGGAACACCAATGAAAGTGCCAATGTTTACGAGGTTAGAGAAGTGAAGCAGACACATTCAGGAGGAAATGTCGCCTCTTGTTTCTCAGACACTGAAGTGGAAATTTTGGCATGTGATGTTTTTCTCTCTTTGTCTGGCTCTCTCTCTTTCAGTACACTCACAGCTCAGTCCACTTCACGGGCAAAACTTGAATCTAGCTGCCAATCGAAACAATATTTCTATGAGAATATTGTTCACATTATGACCATGTCAATGATGCACTGTACCTTTTAATTTAAACATACTATTACATATTATCACCCCAGAACGTTGATTTCGCTCTACTTTGTATATTTCACGTGTCAACTCAATCATTTGTGATGATATTCAGAAACAATCATTTGTGTTTGTCTGCCATTTGTGCAAATTCCTGAAAAAGAAAAAGATTAATATTTTCTGATCTGTTCAAATGGGGAAAAAGGAGTTGTCGCCTTGTTAACTGATGTAATAAAATGATACTGTGTGATGGCTGACAGCTTCCTCGTGGCATTCAGAAGTATGGGACATGTTCATTATAATAAGAGATATCCATCAACCGGCAAGCAACATGAGCTATAACCACCACAGCAAAAGATATTTGAGACCTTTGCCTCAAACCGAGAAACATTTTGGAATCAGATTTTTTATAAATATTGTGGAATGAACATCTACTTCCCAAATAGATCTAGCTATTTCAAATGAAATAATGTACATTGAAGGACTCTTTTAATGTTCCTTAAGATGACCCTACCATTATCCAAAATTGTTTTTCACCTCTAAACAAGTTAGAAAGCACTGAATCTGCATATGGATCCCGATCTACATACTACAGACAGTGATATACAATTGTGAGGATTTTTGAAGAATATGTAAATCCTGTCCAGGATTATTCAGACTGTGTGTACGGATACAAAATCATAAGAGTTATGGCCATTTAAAATTCCTCATACTGCTATAACACACATACATATGAAATGCCATCAACTCTTACTCTGACTTGATGCGGCTGATGCAAAATGCATCCAGGAGACTCCCACTGTGGAAGGTTTGGGTAAACAGTTATAGCAAAACAGCATGGGACATCAATAAATCTGTTAGGAACCAAAATGGATAGATTTTGTGAGGAGGGGTGGTTAAAAACAACAACATTATAAAGAAGTTTAAAATAGCTGCTGAGCTGGTAAAAAAAAAACTACTGGTCACAAGCCTTTTAGCTCGAAGGCAAACCGCCACAATCACCCTCTGACTATCAGTATAGAGAGGCAAACAAACAGATAAATCATTGTGACATCTTCAACTTGGACTAGTTTACAAAAACATGTTATGTAATGTGTTATATGTGTTTACATGTATGAATTCACTCATGTTTGTGCAAACAAAGAGGCACTGAACTTGGCTAAAGTTTAGCTCAACTGATACCAATACGTTGATGATATCTTTACCTATTATTTGATCAAGCTGAATATATATATACAGTACCCAGGTTTCGGACTTATAATAATGCAACAATAAATGCAAATGTATATGGTTTATCTGCAGTGTTGCAGCAAATTCCACTGTATCAAAGTCTGAAGACACCGACTGGTTTCCCATCTCTCTCCGGTGAGTTCAGTGCAGCGGCTCTGTGCTCCACAGAGAGTTAAACACTTTATTTGCTGAGTCAGAGCAGCTGCCTGCCTGCTGCACCGTGATAACAGAGCTTTGTACTGCGTGGTAGAAAACAGGCCTATGGGCAGCAGACCGCCCTGACCTCAACGCTTTACACCGCATGAATCAGCTGGCCTTTTACATAAACACGACAAACAAGACGGCTATTACTTTCAGGAGAAACTAAGAGAGCATGGTGAGGGTGTTTCACTGTGCCTTGCAACCTCTTTCTGTGAAAACAAATGCTGGGTTACCGTCTGGCCGCTCAGGGATGCAAATCTAAGATTCCTGTAAACTGGAATTTAAACTACATTAAGCTCGACTTCAAGCTGGGGTTGGTAATAATACTAATAAAAGTTGGTACAAACCTTTTGTAATATTTGCAGTTGTCACTTTATCCTGACAGACAGATAATCTATGAAGTCTCATTTCCAGGGACCTAAAGTGTCGGTGTTTGACGATCTGGAAATGAGACCCAGCAATCAGTCTTTCTCAGCTCTGATTGGTTTGTTCTCGTTCAGATTCGGTAGATTTTGGAAACTGCCATTCTGAGCACTAGGAGGAGCCAGAGGAACCTGATTTATTTCATTATCTGTCTCTTGTCAGGATATACTGAAAGTTTCAGCAAAACATTTAAGGAAATAAGTAAATATACCTTTATTATCCTCTGTAGGACAAAAACAGAATTGGGAATATTGCATAAAAGGCAGTTTACATCCAATCTTATCACAAATAAGAATATTACAAAATATAATCATATATAAAACATATAATATATAAAACTATAAAGGAAAAATATATATACTATATGAATGTGGAAGTACAATGATGTGCAATTTAAAAATATTTTAGGCAGCGTGACTAAAAACAATATTATTATTTACATATGTGCAATTTAAGATAAATAATATAAGTTTGGGAATTAACCCAGCTGGGGGGGGGGGGAGGTAGCGTACTGGGTGCTGTGGCATTGTGGAGTCTGATGTTACAAACGATTCAGTCTGTGGATGAAGGTATAGTGCAGAGAGGATAACACAGCTCCCAGCCTTCACACTGTCCAGCTCCATCCACACCACCGAGCTAGCCTTCCACACCAGTTTGCTCATGATTAAAGATAATGCATTGGCCGGGAATCGAACCCGGGTCAACTGCTTGGGAAGCAGCTATGCTCACCACTATACCACCAATGCCTTGAAAAGAAGCTCATTCAACAAGAAAATGAAGTCACTGCTCCCAGCCAAGAAACTGTGTTTAAACTGTATTCTTGTCAGTGGCATAAAAGGCAGTGGAAAAGCATTTAGGCCATCATGGACATCATGGGATCTCTACACAGACCCGGACCACGGTTTGTCAAGTTCAGATCTTCTTGCCGATGACTCAGCCTGAGAGAGGGCACATGAGAACATCACCCTATGGGGGACAATTAAAGTAACCTTGAACTTTGAAAGGCAGTGAGCCACATCTGGATCTGAAGACATGTGGGAGTAAAACGGCTAAAAGCAGCAATCGAGACGCAGTCTATCATTAAAACCCACACACACATGAACTGACTCTTCCCACACACACTACCAATCTGCAGCTCTATTAGGCCGACCCAAACAAAGATGACAGCCAGAAGTGGTTCTCCTTCTCCTTCCTTTGTTAGGGTTAGAACACATGTTGTGCTTATTGTATATATTGTAATACCCACCTGCCCCTGGTACATAGAAATACACTGCACATAAATATTAATTCTATTGTATATATATTCTTTATCTATAAATGTTTTTGTTGTTGTTTATGTTCTGTGTTTGTACATTGAGAGCAATTCCATATATGTGAACACATACCTGGCCAAATGGTTTATTTGTAACATAAAATAATGGGAAAAGAGAAGTTAACCAGACATTTCATTTTGTCAATGGTTCTGGGAGAAAGGTTATATCTCTCTTCCTGGTTATCTTTGGGACAAACAAAAAAACAAGAATCTTTTTTACTGAGATTATTTTTCATTCCAGGAGACTCGAAAAGTCTCACAAATCTGATGTGAGTGAATCATGAAAATGTCTTTAAAACAGTGGTACACTTTATCATACAGCTTTATAAAAGTTCTACTTGGATTTAGAACTGAGAAAAAGGCAGACACAATAACTAATAGATTTGTTTGTAAGTATGAAGGCGCTTTTCCAGGATCCAGGATGCACCTCCAGGACTCTGAGCTGAACACACCCTCCTCCTGTTTCCACTGTGGGAGGAGGAGGAGGAGGAGGAGGAGGAGGATGCGTTGACGAGTTCAATTAGGACAGCCCCCTAAAAAAGTTCCCACACAGAGGAGAAGAAAAGAAAGCAGCCCGGCTCCGGATCAGCAGCTCCACTGATGATCACCAGGGAGTAAACGCAGACATGCATTCTGTAGGCAGGTCGTGGCTGCTGCTTACAGGCTTCATCCTCTTTTATATCATCTACCTGCTGTTCGGAGCCCTGGTTTTCTCCAGCATCGAGCGGCCGGTGGAGGACAAGCTGCGAGAGGACATGATAGTCCTGAAGCAGGAGTTCCTGAACCTGAGCTGCGTCAACGCCGCGTCCCTCGAACTCTTTCTGGTCAAAGTGCTGAAGGCCAACAAGTACGGCGTCTCCGTCCTCAGAAACTCCTCCGTCCCTTCAAACTGGGACCTGGCATCCTCCATGTTCTTCGCCAACACTCTGGTCACCACAGTCGGTGAGTTCAAGCCGAACTACAAAAGAAGTTTTTAGCCAGAAAAGTCACCTGGTGGCGTCTTTGCGCAGGACGCAAAACTCCACCGGCGTCAACTGAGCTCCTGAGAAAGAACTCCTGCAGATGTCACAGTGCAAAGTCAACAATATTACACAGTATATATAACGCTGTGAACTGTGGTAGAAACAGAAACACCGTTCCAGTATAAGGGCTTTATTTCTGACTTTAAATTGGAGATAAAACACCACAGAAGTCAAATTCTGGTCCTCATTTTATGGCGTTACTTTCTGCCACGTGTCATGGATGTTTCAGAGAGATTGCAGCTGGGTGACTTTCACTTAAAGCAGCTAAAGATCAAAACAAACAGAAACCCCCAGCTGCAGGGGACATTTTCTCAAATGCCAGTTAGCTGAAAAATCCCCTCATCATCCCTGCAGTCAAATATGGAAGAGGAGTTCAGAGTGAGTTTCTGTTGACCAGAGGGGCTCATGGGGCTTTTATTGTGGAATTATGAGTCATTGTTAATGAGGGAAGAGAAAGTTTCACTGACAGCTATCGGTGTAATGCACTGATGGTCTGATAAAGTTATCTTGTCTGTGGTTTGCTCTGAACACCGACTGTACAACATGTCAGACAGCCCGACCTGGGTGTTACAGGAAGTGGAGGGTGCAGCTGGGTTGTCATACATAACAGAGGTTTTCTGGGGCCAAACACAGCAGCGGTTCTCAACCTTTACCTGCACATGCACACACTTCATGTGCATGCTTCACCCACATCCTCGCTGCTGGTTGTTCCTCATTCAGTTTGTTAATTGACCTTAAAAAAAAATATGACATTCTGTACAAGCAGCAGTGGGTTTAATCAGGTACGGTATTCAAGTGTGGTACGCTTACCTGCCAGTGCAGTTTAAGTTAATTCGTCTTGAAAAGAACACCATTCTCTTCAGTGTATTAATAATAAGTCTGTGCTTAGAGAGGAACTGAGAGTAGCGAAGGATCGGCCTCACGTCCTTCACTCTCAATATGAGCACTTACCTGCTGGCCGACAGTTTACTGCTCCAAACTGAAGACTGAGCCATCATTTTAAAACCTACTTGTTCCATTAAGATTTTAAGCAGCAGCAGTTAAACGCTGTGCTGGTGGAAACTTTACACGGTGACGGAGAACTTTATTGTGGGGTTGCTTTTACTGTTGAACGTGCAATGTTCTGTTCCAGTGTAATACTTTCATGCATCACTGTTTTACTGGAGATTAATGTTCTGTAATGTGTTGATGCTGAGCCCAAGAAAAGTTTCCCCCAGGGGATAATAAAGGACATCTCATCTTATCTCATATTAGCTTATCTTAAAGCATGTCAAACCACAGAGCAGTGGGCGCCTCTGACTCCAAATGGGCATATAAATGGCCCATTTTGCCCATGAAGTTCATTTTACTCGTTATCAGCTGTAAAATGTCTTCCGTCGCTCTGGCGGGAGCTTCCTAAACTCTGAGTCACACCGGGGTTATTTTGGGTTTGGAGAGAATTTCTAACAGAACGCCTGCAGTGCAATCAAGGCAGCGGAGTTTGAAAGATGTGGTTGTTTATCAGGCAGGGAGAGCGTAATGAGAGACACTGTCAGGTTGCAGCATGGGAAATGTAGACTCCAGCGTTGATCCATATTGGAGACCAAAAGTCATTTTGCAATGTAGATAGGTTGATGAGTTCAACGCGTAGGACCACAGGCCAGCGTTCGATATCTTAACAACATGGATAACTAAGACTTGCACATGTTTATCACGTTGACCTGAGGCCCTCGCTGTGTCTGCAGTCGGTGGACTAAAGGCCCGAGGGTCGGTGGCGTGGTCATAAGATGAAAAGTTTGTTTTTCTTTTGCTAGACGAATCTGCTGAGCTCCTGATGTTTCATTTGCTCTGGCAGTCATGTCTGGACACAATTTCCAATCCAATTTCAATCACAGCTGTTTAGTTAACATGGGGTTTTATACAATAACAGAGGAGTGCCACCGGTCCAGATTTGAAAAGTCACAAGTACGTCTGTCCTGTCAAACGAGGCAGTGCTGATCCAATATGAATCATTACTACATTTTCTTACCATGTTTTCATAAACACATTTTAGTGTAGTGTTTTACAGTAATGATGCTCTGATTGGTTGTTTGTCTATCTAATTATGTCCAGAGGCATTTTGGTCTGCGCCTGTTGAAAAATCAAAAATTAACTTGAGAGGTTCCAGATTAATTAGTGTTTCTATATAGACATGTATTTATTGAGCTTTGGTTTTAACAATTCCCAATGATATATATATTTTAACAAAACATGAGACAGTCACACTAATATAAGAATTGTGTGTTTCTCTGTCTTCTTTCTTCTTCTCTCACGTAATTGTGCACATTTATGTTTCCAGATATTATTCATACCTAATTGGCATCGTAACCCCTCATATTTTCTAATCCTGAGAACACGTACATAAAACAACTCCCTGCTTAATATTTAATCACACACAGTAATACAGCCACAGAGACTGGTACTAATTCAAATTTAGAATTTACCATCTTAAAAGTCACGCTGAATTTCCTGTTGAAACAGGATGTTGAAGACAAATATAGAGTCAGAAGAAACAAAGCTACACAAACTCACTAGATTCAAGTTTTATGTTTTAGTGCAAACTGTATATATATTATTTAAGATTATAGATAGAACACATTACATGGCGTAATACATGGCCAGGGCACCAACAGGTGGCAATAATGTTAGCCTTGTTTGAGTTGCTGGCCTCACAGATCGCACAGTCTGTGTGAGTTCGAGGTGGGGTCAGTCGTTCAGGAGAAAGAAAGTCGATTGTTGAGTCTCACTCCCAGGCTGTTCTCTGGAAATGTGGGACTTGACTTGGACTGTCGGCGGGCACTGCCGCTGTCAAAGTGACCAGGACTCTGTACCAAAATACTGCAGCATCATCGTAGTAACATCACACAGAGAAGGTCCTGAAGGCGTTTGTACTATTGAAGAAAACTACTATGAAAACACAGTGAGATTCACAGGGAGGCTGCTGCAGACACTCACATGGCCACTGAGGAAATGCAGATTCAGGCATGAAGCAGAACAGAAGTGACCCTTGTGTTCAGGAGAAGTTTGTTTGCTCTGTGTGACGCATGAATTTCCTTCACAATACTGCATGTGTTTCCTTACGTGACACTTCCTAAAGGCTTTAATATGGTTGACAGTCGTGTGTTTTTAACTTGAAGGTTCTCAGTCCAGAGAGCACAAACTTTCAGATGATGACTCAGGTTGTAAACAAACTACCAGTTTCTCATCTAAACACACACAAAATGTCAGTTAAATGTTGTGTTATAGTCCCTCATTGCATATAATTACTGTGTGTGTACAGTAGGTACGTTAACGTGGAACCATCCAGTTCTGCAAAACCAGATTGTGGAAGTACACAGTGGACAGATTGGGAAGTCATTTTAATATTTTATTGATACCAGTACCACGGTGGATTCTGCTTATCGGCCCCATTCTTTGTTGATTCCCTCACTGATTCCTAAACAATTTTCTGTGTGGAATAAAGTAGGCCCACACAGGTTTTCAGTTGTATTATCTCTGAGTCTGAACAAAGAGTAGAGTTATAGTAGTTTGAGTTCCTTTGTGAAATGAAGCCGCGCTTTGGACCATTTCTTCCTCGCCGCCACGACTCCTTCTTTTTCCAGCAGCGTAGACACAAGTTTGACATCATTGTTTTGCGATGCTCAACTGTCAGAAAAACATGCTGCCATTTCTAAAAGGAATTGATAAGCTCCATGGCAAATGATTCCAATGGATTGGACAAAACTGGACCCGGTTCTCAACTGGAACCGGTTCTCGATTCCCATCCCTGCTGACGCCACAGCTATGCTTGATGTTCTCTGAGTTGGTCCCAGTAATTTCTAACTTGAAACACAATGGCTGCTGAGTTACAATAACTTGTGATTGATGACAGTGGCTGGCTTTTTCATAACATCAGCAGAATATCTTATAACTACGCCTTGTCCAACTTCTGAACACAGTAAAAACCATAAACGCTGTGTGTCTAATCTGTATCTAAACAGATTGCATTTGTCTAAATTAGCCTCCATCTAAACCTTTAATTCAACTGATGTCTCATTGCAGCTCTTAGTGGCGTTTAATTACTATAGAGTTGCAATGCAGTGGACAAAATTGCAAAAGTTAAGTTGTATATAAGCAATTAACTATTGAGAATTAAAAGTAAAAGTAGCATGAAACAGACTTTCCTTGGAAATTAGTGAAATAATAATAAACTGGAAAATCTATTCAAAACCAAAACTGAACTTACAGCACAAAGCATCATTATGTGGTGTTTCCCTAAATTTACTGTAACTTCATTGTACCTGCAGTTTAGCTGTCAGGTTCACGCCACTGATAGCAGTTCACCCACTTTAAACATGTGATTTCCATCCGGCTAACCGTGTTTGTGTTTGAGTCTCTGCTCCTGAACGTTGATGATGGATAACAACCTGTTGGCTGACTCTGACAAAGGAAGCTTTGTGCTGATCGCATGAAGTGCTTCTCTTCTTCTCGAATGACCGCCAGGCAGCACCGTTTATAACCCATCATCCCAATCTGTCTATTAGCAGAGCTTCATCACGTTGAGGATGTAATTATGTTTTAAAGCTCTTAATCAGTTTTCCAGTTAGAGTGAAGTTATTTATCTTGTTATATAATGTGTCCAGGGTAGCTACATAGAGATCCAGTATCTTTATAATCCTGTTAAACAATTCTAAAAACAAATTGTACATGTTTACAATAAGCGTTATATTAGCACTGGGCATAATTGGTGAACTGTAACTTCATGCTACTGATACTCATAGAAACTATGGTGCGTATGTGTAGGTCTTCTATTGTGTTCAGTAAAATTATGCATTTTGTGCAACTGAAGCTGTTTTCATGGTTTGTGTAGTAGCCTGTTTATGCAGTAACAGATTGGGTGAAAGCTGCCTGTTCAAAGCAGCCATTTCAGTTTCAAATAAAGAGGAACTTCTTTAATCCCACTGCAATTACATTGTTTGCACATGACATGATGTATGATCTTGTACAGACACTTCTTTTGCTCACACGCAGGGTGTTTTTTAAGTGCACTGTGGAGCCATAACTCCCTGTCGGACTCTGGTCAGTACTATGGAAAGATGTGTCAGTTTAATGTGTCTGAGTTGATTGTGCGTTTTTCTTTACTGCGCCTGTATTGTTTTCATTATATTTTTATAGTGTGTTGTTACCGTCAATCACCTTTCCTTTATGTGACAGAGGAGATGGAGTTCAGTCAGAGCCGGCTCATTTCGGTTACAGCAGTTACAGCGCTGCCTGGTGCAGAGTGTGTCCCTGTTGGCAGATATTCAGTGAGTAGTTTGTGCTGTGAGCCCGGGTGTATTTTCTTCCTCCCTGCCTTAGTTTCCTGATACTGACCACTGCTGCTGTCTGGCTGCAACCCAATTTTAAGAGCCAATCATGTGCTACTGTTACCACTTGTCTTACAGTAGCTTTACCTAGGACACCACAACCACTGAGTCTGTGGCAGTCTGTGCTTATGATTGAGTGATTTCTATGATTAAACTATAAACTGTGTAAACCTTTTGAGGAAATGTTACACCTGAAGTCTGTGCAGTCATCATGATTCAGATGAGAGAACCCCCCCTAACTTGTCTGTGACTGTCATTGTGTGCACACAGTATCAAGTTTAAATGACAAAAACATTCATATCCTCACTTACCTCCAGTGGAATGGATCACTTTTTACACCCTGAGTTTTGCCTCTCAGATAGGATCAGGCTATCCAGATCCTGATTGATGGAGCTTATTAAAGTCATTTCACTATTGCTATGTAGATATAAAGTTAAATAGAATACAACCTTAGTGTAAATCTGTATTTATCTTAACAAAACATAACCACATGAAGGCAAAACATGTAGAAAACGTGGTAAAAAAGTCACAGACGAATAGAAGAATACAAATAAAAAACAACACATTAAAACATCATGTACAATATTGTTTAGCAGGAGTTGAGTTTTTGAGTTTAAATGTTGGTTGCACTTGAAATAAATGACTTCCTAAAAATATTTTCTGTTACCAAAGCCGCCACCTTATAGCATGTCCCAGATTCCAGAGACTCAAACTGAGGAAATAAAGTATTCAGAGTTATAGTTGTTATTATAAATGTATAAAGAAATGCAGGAAACAGCTGTCACACCGTCTCCTGCCTGCTGCCGTTACCATTTTAACGGTCCTCATCATTGTGTTTCCTGTTGTTCCCCCCTCTTCCTCCACTGTCAATCTCTGTCCCCTTCCTTAATCTCCAGGTTATGGTCACACCACTCCTCTGTCGGACACTGGAAAAGCCTTCTCCATCATCTATGCCCTGATAGGAGTCCCCTTCACCATGCTGGTGCTCACCGCCTGCGTCCAGAGGCTCATGTACCCCCTGGTCCTCGCTCCGGTCGGCCTCCTGCAGCGCTCAGGCATTGAGCCGCGGCCGGCCACCGTCGTCCACTTCGTGTTGCTGCTGGTTCTGGTGGTGTTGTGCTTCTTCGTGGCGCCGGCAGCCGTGTTCAGCACCGTAGAGGTGTCCTGGTCGTTCCTGGATGGGATCTACTTCTGTTTCATCTCGCTGTGCACCATCGGACTGGGGGATTTTGTTCCGGGGACACATCCTGGGCAGAAGTACAGGCCGCTGTACCAGGTCACTGTCATGGGTGAGTGCAGTTGTTATTACATCCCTCGTAGGTCAGAAAAGTGCAGCCAAACTATACCGATTATGGCAAAGTACAGTCAGACTACAGCCCAAACATCCACATTGTTTAAGTCATATTTAGCCTTTTTAATTTTAGTAACTCTTTCACACTGATCTCCACTGAAACTGGAAGAGTAAGAGATGAAACGGTTAATATCAGTGTGTCCGTATCCTCACAGCTACTGAATCTATTTACTTGTGTCTTTTTATGTCGTCATTATTGCAGCCAGTTGATGTCTGAACATTTGTACGGTCCCACAGTGACAGTGTCAGGCTCAAACACTTCCTCCTTTGTATAATGCCTGGTCATCTGCAGTAAATGTTTGGTAAGAAGCTGTTGTCTGATTACGGTCCAGGATACAATGAGATTCACGACAGCGCCTGTTTACTGAACCTGGGTCTAACTAATTAGTTTTAAATGCTTACCTACACTAGACAGCTTCTCCCATCTCTCAGCACTCCTTAATGTAAAATACTGTCTTTATGACTTATTAATCAGTTCTACTGTATATCATTCTCTTTATATATAGTTTTAGTTTTTTATAAGTAGCATAATGACCTGAATTTCATTACACAACCCTGCGTTGTTAAAGAACGTTTTATCTTTGTATGTTTTTAGTTAATGCAAATTAATTTGAGTGACTCTCACTCACACATGAAATTTACCACAGACGTGTTGAAAAATGCTGTGGCTTAAAATGACTCCCTTTCACTACCTTCCCAGTTATGATCCAGTACACACACACACACACACACACACACACACACACACACACACCCCCCCCCCTGTTTGAGTCTGATCTTATGTATTATGTAACATCCAGATAACTGTGTATAAGTGTTCAGTCAGTAAAGTGTACTGCCAGTCCTGTCCAGTTGGTTTTTAAAGCAGATATATTCTGGTGGCTCCTGATGACTGTGCCGTCAGTGTGTATGAATGTGACAAGTCCTTATATACCGCTTTTGGTCACCCCTCAAAATTTTAAAAGTCAATTTCCCGCCATCCACAACAAGGCGTTAAGGAGAAGGGAAAACCCAAACAAACGATTTAAATCTTGCAAATGTTTTATGAGGAAGGAAAAGCATTCAACACGTTTGTTAGACCTCAAGGATGCAAACAATGCATTCTGGTGAGTAAAAATGAATGTAAACATAACTTTTGTTTGTTTAAAAGAAAACCCCACAGGGCCCCTTTAAGTAGGGTAGTTTAAATCTTAACAGCTGAGCAAAGACTCAGGAGCTCACCTGATTTTAACTAGACCAAACCTGGTTTAAAAGAACATGCAGATAAGCCATAAGGAACAATCTTTTGCCTCATCTGGTAGGAATCATTATTTATTCAGATCCTTTATCAATACGGCATCTTATATGAACACCCAAAAATAATTAGCATCATTTAAAAGCCAAAGTCTGCAAAGTCCTACCCTTATTGGTATTTCACTACAGTGATGACTAAGACTTTAACTACAAACCCCACTGCACTTGTGGGTATGTTAAAATGAAAGCTCACGAGTCACATGACACACACGAGTCTGGTGTGGTTTTGTCCTGTGAGGGTCACACACAGCTGCTACATGCTTGCGGAGCTGAAGATGAGAGTCCGACCCGACAGGGTGGCGCCCCGCAGAACCAGAGAACACAGCCGGTCACACCAATCTCACCGGTCCTCTCTCTGCTGTAGAAACCTTTCCACCCCTCCTTCTTCCAAGAGAGAAGACGACGAGGCACTTTTTGTTGTTACGCAAAGGAAAGAGAATGCAATGTCATGAAAAAATGGCTTTTAAAACAGACTTATTGTGACAGGAAAGACATTGGAGGACTTATGATGGTCAGTGCACATTGTATTGTGCTGATGTATAAACAGTTTTTCATGAAGGCAGACGCCAGAGGAAGAGCTGTAGTTGTTTTAAGAGTCTTTCTTGAGAATATAACAAACGCTAGTATTTCCAGGATGATTTCTCTTCCTGCTCTGAGGGGAGACTCTCGCCTCTGCAGCCTTCATTCTCACCTCTGATGTGAGAAGTAGCACCTCTCCCTGCTTCTGTTCTCAGTAGCAAGTCGTGGTTGACAGGTCAGTTCCTCATAAATGAAAACTGCTCCCTGAATGTGTCTGTTAGCTGTCCGGATATTGAAGTTCACTCTCCTGTGTCGCTCATTTTAAATTAATCCAGCTTTCAGAGAAAATTCATGAAACAGAAGTGAAATGATCTTCAAAGCGTCAGTGGCTTTTTGTAGCTTGTTGTATAAAACCTGGAGAGGGTCAGTGCAACAGCACCCTGTGAGATGCAATGGCGTAGATAAGAGAGCATCTTTCACGCCTTTTGGTTTATTTGGTTTTAGCCCTGCTAGCACTATGGCTCTATGGATCTGTTAGTCGGTCAGTCCAAACTATCTGGAATCAACTGCATTATCATTCAGTTAATCTGTGGATTGTTTTTTTTCTAATTGTTTGGCCCAAACAATTTTGAAAAATAGTGTAAAAATAACCAAAGTGACCAAGATGAAAGTCCAACACCCAAACATATACAGGTTAGAATTAAATCTGACAAAGAAAAGCAGCACTACTTTGGCTCAATAGTCGCCTGTGCTGTTTCTTTATAGTATATTTCCCATAATAGTAGCTGATTTTGTCATAATTCATCTTGTGAGTCACCTTTCATCCCTTTCACCCAGTTATTCATGATGCTAAGCTGCTAAGCTACATCTATAAATGCAAAGTCTGCGTGCTATTGGAAAGCTAATGGTTGCCACTGTCGGCTATAAAATGTTTAAAATGCAGCGTTAAAATGATCTCTGTTAGCAGCGGGTCATTGCTAAACCTGTGAAATAAGCATCATAATAAATGTGTTGTGGTGTTAGTTAAAGGAACATTGCTCATGCAGTTGAACTAAGACTATCAGGAGTGTGTCGGCTTGACGGGAGGGGGGCAAGAAAATATAATTTCATAGTGTATAGACCATTTGGGTTCATTCCCAGTGATGTGATTCAGACATTTATTGTGAATGTGCTTCTTCATAAAACCTCATACTGGATCCCAGTGGTTGTTTTGTTGGTGATTGAGGCATCACGGTCACATGACGGAGGTTATTTTCATAGTTGTGCTGTTGTTTTTCAGCCTCTGTGCGGGTGTTTCCTCTGTAATTGAATCGGGGTTGGAATGACCTTTTTGTCTAAAAGTAGCCGTGCTGTTGTTTTGTTCCTCTGTGCTCTCAGTCAGAGAGCTCTACAGTGAATATCTGACAGCATTTATTGAGATGAATGTGGTCTGCTGTATTCAGGACTGAAAAATAAGTGAAATTCCCCCTGCAACAATTAGTCTAACAAACAAGAAAAATCCACTGTCTGTGATTGACCTTGAGTTTCTTTGGCCATTTTTTAAAGAAACTTTGTGCTGCTATACACTTGCTTTCCCGTATTGTCTGAAATCGGGAGGATTTCATGTTGGCTTTTCTGGTCAGAGGGACCCAGGTGGACACGCTGGAAGCTGCTGTGTTCTCCTCTGTGTGCTAATCCCCTGACTTCAGTTTGGAAGGAGGCCCAGCAGTTCACACAGAGCGGCCGTGTTGTTTCTTCGTCCCACAGGTCGTATTATATAATGATGATGTAGGTCGAGTCAGATTAACCCAAACAGTCCCTGCAGGTTCTGAGGAGGATTAGTGACCGACTGCATGATGTGGCCTGTTGTTCTCACAGCCCGATGATGTGACGTCTCCTGAAACCGGTGTTGTGAACACAGCTGAAGTACTGTGTGCTAAAACTGATCATACGGAAATACACACTGTCTGCTGTAGAGGTAAATGAAAGCATCACAATCAGCAGTGGGAACAAGAGTCCGTTGTATTCTCAGCAAGAAATACAATTTTTGGTCTGAGATTAACGAATTTACCAGCCTGAAATGATCGATGAATACATATTCTAGAAATGACATTTTCACACATTATAAATCACTTATCACCGGCCACCGGTTTGTCAGTGGATACAGTGGATTCATTCTGCAATGAAGCTCTTATTTCTTATTATTGTCCACCAATAATCCATACATTATCATCATATACTGTGAATTCTGAAGTTGTGCAATGCCAAAGACCCAAACATGTTGAAACTCCCCTGACATACTGTTGACTGTGCAAAGTTTAAAACTGCTGTTTTGTGACAGCACAGCATTTCTAGTGTTGCTGAAGAGAAAATATTTTGGGACAGTAGTTCGGAGTTTGGACAGAGTCAAAGTCCTTTTAACTCATCAGGTTCTGTTTCTCACCACAGTGAGTGTTTCAGTACTACAGTGTTTCATTTAAAGGTGATGTAAGTGTTCTTTTTGCCTGTTGTTCTTTCAATAGTCTTAATTTGTCCTCTAAACCTGTAGACTGAAAACATTTCAGACCAAAGTTGATCATATACAACCAGCAGGTGCTGAGCTGTGCATGTCCCACAGTGAGTGTGATGTACTGAGCTCAGGCCTCAGTAATCCTGCACTGTTTATCTTGAAGAGTTGGCCTACTTGTGTAGTGAGAGACCATTGTCCAGGACCTGAACTCTGGTGGCACTTTAGTGCATACATGTGACAGAAGAAAACCACATGTATTTTCTTTAAGGCAAACGCAAGAATCAGAGCAGAAATAACAAATGTCGAGCACATTTAGTTTTCACCTTTGCCACCAACTCGAGGGCACTTCTGTCCTCCTTTTTTGGGGAAATGGATTTACTAAAATAGTTTCCTCTGTCCAGGGTCCAGTGTGTGTCAGACTTTTTTCAGAGCTTAAGGAGTCATAAACAGAAGATTTATATCAGTTTGACCTGATAACAGCAGTTTCCTACTGGTCTGTCTTCTTCTCTGTGATCATCACAATGAAATATAAAGAATATTATTTCACATTTTTTATTTTTTTATTTCATAATTCTGTTCTAATTAAAAGTACCCAACATAAAGCTGAAAAGTATCGTTTCTCTGGACTGACCTGGTTGAAGCCTTCCCCTCACTGTGTGTGGTGTGTGGTCAGTGGGTGCTGTGTGGTTGCACACCTGGTTGGCACAGTGCAGCCAGATGTGCGTGGTTTCTTACGTTAACCCGATACCCCACAAACCAACAGCATGGTAACCCATTTAGACTAAATAGACTAAATGTATGTCATGGGTTTTGGTGGCTGAATTCAAATGGAAACGCTCTCTGCGGCTAAAAGCTGTAAAAATAAAGGTGAGAGTCGGCGTCAGACCTTCGCTACGTTTAAGCGGCTTTCCCGTCCTTGCCACTACGTAAGAGGCGGCACAACAAATGGACCGCAGTCTGTTCTACTTGCAACCCACTGACTCTCAGCTGCTGTTTATAGCCAAGCCAGCAGTTGTGTGACACTGTAATGCTCATAAGACCCCAGAAAATAAAACCTGTTGGACTGGTTAAAAAAACGGAGAGACAACTTTAATATTTGACTGTATTGTTCTCCAGAGTTACAAAAGCAATCTAAAGCATTTCCAGTTGTTAAGCATTGAAACATGAATCTTTACTAACTCTGAAAAGGGGGACAAATCACACACATCAGTGGGCATTTGATCAACACAAAAATAAAGCAGATGTTCCCAGATCTTATAAAACTCAGTGGTTGACGAGTAGTGTTGAGTTGTTAAAGTTTGAGCCACATTTCAGGCCCAGTGAAAGTCAGCTTCATGTTTTGACTTCCTTTTGTAAAAGTATATTATCACATCGTGTTGTTGACCCGTCTCTCTGCCCCTTCCTCCGCAGTCTACCTGTTCGTGGGTCTAATGATGATGTACCTCCTGCTGCGCACCTTCCACAAAATGGCCGACCTGCACGGCCTGACCACCTTCCTGCAGCTGCCGCGCTGTGAGGAGTCTGACCTGGACGAAGACAGGGAGCCCATTGTGGAGAATGAACGTCAAAGTCAGAAAGAAAAAGCTGCCAACAAACCCCTGGAGCCGGGATCTCAGCCCTCGTACAACACCATCAACAAAGGCTGAGCTGTGGGGAGGCAGAGGGAAGGAAAAGGAGCTCTACCTCTGGCGAACCCCTCGGACCAGCGATAAAACACCCCGACTGGCGGGCTGAATCTGAATTCTTGTCTTCATTTTTTTTTATTATTTCGTCTCCTCCAGTGTCCTTGTTAACAACAACCAGAGGAGCGAGCGTAATAATAATGAGGAATCAAGATGAGTTTTAAGATTCAGCCTTTGTGAGAGGGGCCGCCATGCAGTTTGAGTGGTTACTGCCACTTTCTGCACATATGAAAAGACTGTTCTAACTTGACTACAGCAAACCCGGCTGGGCTAAAAGGCACAGACGTACCTTTTCCTCCTGGACACTGGTGCAACTGTGGTGTGTTCACCGTACAGGCTCGCCTGGTGTTTTTACGGCCTCAGGATGGCACATGAAGGGCTCGGACTTGTGATGGTTGTTTTCAGATCACGTTTGTCTTTTGCATGTATTTTTGTCACGTTGCTTTTTTTTTTTCTGTGCCACAGGTTTGGGGTTGCTAAATCAGGACTAACAAATACTGTGTATAACTGTGCTGAAACTAAATCTTAGTGCAGAACACAACCTGTGGATGCACTTGCCTTTTTCAACTTCACCAAAAAATCTTTTTACACGTTTAACTGCATTTGTTTTTATTCAGGTGCATTGTTCAGCTTTATATTTCACACATGCACATCATGGCCAAAACACCTCCAGATTATTGACCAAACCAAAAGTCGTATTTACTTACGTTCACCCCACCTAAATGCATTTTTACAAGCATCAATGTTCACGAGTGCAGTCGAATCTGCTCCAACTTTTAGATCACTTCCTCAAATAAAGGTCAGATGTGGACCTGCGTGGAGCATTTAAAACACCGGGGACATGAAATGGAACCAGTTTCATATTTAATTTGATTTCCTGTGTGAGTGGTAACCTTTGTGTCTGGGTCAGCCTTGAAGAGAACAGAGGAGCGCTGTGTTTGCCTCAGGACTGTCCTCCTTTATGGTGCTTCCCCCTGGTGTCTACATGTATGTAGTGCATGTTATCACACCCCCTAGAACAGTAATGAATTAGGGTGGAAGGGTTGGAAGAGAGGGACTGAGGAAAATTACAATTACAGTAAATAAAGTGTTTCATTGTAGTGATTGAGACATGATTCATTTCAATGGAAGACCAAATGTTACTTATCAAACAACCTGTTCTGTGTGATTTGAAGTGTACTTTAATGTTTCTTTTACCACCAAAGTTGAAGTCAGGCTAATTATATCCAGATACTGTAAAATAATTTGTGTGTGTATGTTAACATATTGACATTGGATAACCATAAATTTAAAAAAAAGGTTTGCTTTGTATTATGTTTAACCGTGTCGTCCTCGTCTGAGATCTTTTGTACAATAAACTCTGATGTAAATGGAATTTGAATGAAGGTGAACGGAGGTTTTATTAAGCATTGTGAAATGTACAAGACAGAAGTAACTGTGTGACTTTTACAGACATTGAGAATTTGAAGCTGTGAGAAGGGTATGTGAGCTGAGAGCAGACTCAAACACTGGGTCTATTTCCAGTCCCCTTTAAAAAATGAAGTGTGTTATGAGGTGGATATCTACCTAACATCAAGTGTCGGAGAGCATTAAAACATGTCTTTAGGATTGATACAAAAAAGATGACTGTTTGTTTTCTTACAGTGAGAGGTGACTGAGTGAAGCTGCCTACAAGGACCCACATGTCTGTCATAAAGGTCCAGTATTTGTCTAGTCCTTCTGTATTAGGTCTTTGTTCTTTGTAGGTTTCTGAAGCTGAAGTGTGATCATAACACCGACTTTTTTAAAGTGTCTTTTACAAGGTAGCAGTTCGGCCTCGAGGTGGAGGAAGTGAAACGTCTCTGGTAAATGCTTTCACTTTCATGATTCTCTGAATACACCTTTTCTCCAGGAAATGAAAAATATACAGCATCAGAAGTTTGGAGCCACAAAAACACAGTATAAGTACATTTCCCCCAATCATCTGTTCCCAAAACTGTCAAATACCTGCTGTAAAATGTACGCGTGATGCTTTTTGAATGAAAATTAAATCGTGTTTAACAAAGAAAACGCAGCATGATTTCATTTTCACATTTATTAAAAATGTCAGTATAAGTAAACAGACATTTGCCTTCTTTTAAAAACAAACAAAAGTCTAAATACATAGTATCTCAAATTCAAAACATAAGCATTAAAATATTTGTAGAGAAAATAAAAGTAAATAAAATAACTGCCGTGACGGTATATTAATACACCATTAGTGAATTGTTCATTCAAATATGTTAGGACATTAAATTACTCATCTTAACAAAATATGCCGTTTATAAATAGTTTGAGCTATTCAGAAAGGACCTTTGCATAGAAAGCAACTTCAATCCATAAACGAGACAAAAGTACAAAAACCTGACAAACAGGCGACACGTGCTTCCTGTAACGATCTCAGCGTTGGTTTCAAACGCCGGATCAACATCTACAGATGGTTAACTTACAGTTAAAACACCTTTTAAGTGTTCAACAACATGCATTAAACAGAACATTTAATAGGACACAACATTATGGGTTCAAAGGGAATCATTTGGCCAAATCTCACCTGTAATGTTACCACTGCTCACCGAATACTCACATGACTTAGAAATGCATGTTATTAACAAAAGTGCAATAATTCAGATGTAAACCAGACAAACCATGTGACCCCCACTAAAACAAGCAGAAATTGACCCAATGATGAGCAAACAGGGTCGAGGTCAGCGCCGTCCGGACTCCCGTCAGCCAATGTGGCTCAAAGCGCGGCGCTGAACTCCCACCAGGACCGATCAATAATATCACATCTGTACAACAGAAGCTGTTGCGTAGTGGTTGTGACTTCAGCTACAGTGGCTCAGCACTGCCACATTAAGCCCCAGAGGATGTTTCATATACAATCACAGTACGGTAAAAGGCTCTTTGAATAAAAGCTCTTAAAATGACATCGTTTCAGAACAACCACGTGTTACTCTGCTTCCTGAGCTGCAGCTGCACTCGGACTCTCAGGAGGAAACAGAAATGTAGTTTCACTCTTTTCAGCCTTAAGTAGGGACAGAGTTTAGAAGCCAGCTGGTTGCGAGGCAATAACTGAGTAATATTCACTGTTTACATTCAGGAAATGTATCGTACTGCACCTGCAACTGCTGCTTACTGAAATATAACTGATGATAAACTGAGGGATACAAAGAAGAATCACCCAGTTAAAGATAACATTCAAGAATTATACTTTACACTTGAAATTTTCATTTTTTTTTTGTAACTGAACACAATTCTGGTTCTTGAGGATTTCAAACCACCTGATATCATAAATATTCAAACGTTGTTTTGATGACTAAGAAGCACATTTTCACGGTGGTGCTCCTGCTGTTTAAAAACCCCAACCTGATCTCTTAGCACCTGATACCATGGCCCCGTTATAACTCACTGATAAATACGTGGTTAAAGGATTTTCTTCACAGAAGATTTTACCCATAATATTAGTGTTTTAGCCAAATCGCATTCTCTCTGAACTCGCATTAACATTTTACACCCAACGTTCGGTCCGCTGCACGAATCCACACCAGTACATCTCTCTTCTCCCACTCCACATAAACCGGGATGTTCAATGTGAACGCGGGATTACTTGAAGCTGTGATGCAAATTTGCTGAAGTAAATTTCTCTCAACAGCAACCTGACCCCCCCCCCTTATTTCCAAATTAGCTGAGTCATGCTGGAAAGTGAAGTAAAATGGTTTTTCAGCAGTTCATTATGTGATGAGTCACTGCTTAGTCATTAAGAAAGAAACTCAGCCTTATCTGGTTTACTTCCTACACAGTTTTCACTTCCATTTTTGCCGAAAACCTTTTACAAAAAACAAAATGCATCACAGCTACTACTCACACTACCCCACCTATGGACATCAACCATTTCTACATCTCTAAAGCATTTCTTACTACTTTCTAAAGCCCATAATACACAATTTCTTGAACAATATATAATAACAAAGAGACTATTGGATCTGTTTGACAGTCCAGCTCTTTGCTTTGAGAATTCAGTTTTTGTTCACTACATGAACAGTGTTCAGGTTACTTCCTGTTGAAATGGATTACAGTGTGATGATGATGATGATGATTGATGATGATGATGAGGCTATCAGGACTCCACCAGGATCTCCATCAGATGCTCCAGCTCAAGTCCTTCCCTCATATGATTCTGACTGGAGAAGGGCGGCGCAGAGAAAGAAGGTGAAGAGGAGGATGACGGGCTGAACGAGGAGAATGAAGGCAGGCACTTCAGATTCTGGTTGAAAGAGAGGGAGAAGGGATGCAAGGGGGAGGAGGAGGAGGAGGAGGAGGAGGAGAAAGGCGGTAGGTACCGTAAAAGGTCATCCCCAGCTGGGTACCCACCGCCACTGCCTCTGAGCCCGAGCACGCCCATGTCCCTCTCCAGCAGGGACGTGTCTATGTCCTGGAACAGATCCTCCACAGTGAGATCGGTGAGGTAGCTGGACCTCATCGCCTCCATGCTGCTCTCCCGCACTCTGCACTCATCCTGCGGCTCCCAGTTTCCCCCATAACCTCTGACCCCCTGTTTCACCCACGCCACGCCTCCCTCAGAGGGCCCCGACAGGTTCTCCAAGGACCTGAGAGGTGTCCGTTGAGCTGCCTGTGGGCTACCGTCAATAGTGGAGTCCAGTGCGGTGAGAATAGAGGAGATGGCGGCTGAAAGGGAGAAATCAGGATCCATGGACATCGATCCCCAGTCCTCATCTTCGTCTTTTACAGACTGAGGGACGTTTGAGTGGCAGCTTGCTGGAGACCTACTTGTAGCACAATTTGACAAGTAATTTAAAGAAAGGAGAGGGCAGCTGGCGAGAGCTGAGTGGCTGTTAGCAAACATCACAGAGGAGTGGTGTATTGCTGCAGCTGTGAAAAAACCCTCCTGGACTGCAGATGAAGAGCTACATGGTGGCTGCGACACCTCTCTGTCTTCAGGGGGCGCCATACATCCCTCCAGGCTGACCTGCCGCAGTGTGTTGGCTATCAGAACAGACCTCCGCAGGCTGGGTTCAGGTAGCTCCTGGCCACGCTGGTACTTGTTGAGGGAGACTGAGAACACGAACTGACGCTGGCTCTCCCAGAAAGGGCTGCCTCGGTCCGAAACCTCCACGTCCTCTGGTGGCAGTTTCCGCTTCTGCGCCTTCATGATCATCTTCAAACTGTGGAGGAAGGGTCAAACCGTAAACATATTGTAGAACAGTTCTTAGTGGTGTTTGTAGTAGAAGAATGAGGGGGTTTTTTTTGTTTTAAAAAACTACAGAAGAGTGGAATAAAATCAAAATACTGATGTGATAAAACACAAAAAGTTGATCAAATCTGTGGTAAAAGTTTGTCTTCTTCTAATCAGTAATGTTATCAACTTGTTGTGTTCAGTTTTATTGATTTTTGATTGTGTGGTTTTATTCCCGTTTTATTTATTTCTGATATTTCTATATTTTATTCACATTAAAATGTCTGAATATGATTGAGAATTAATAAATTGCTCTATGGTGTACTGGCATTATCACTATATCTGTGGCATAACATGGTCTTAAAATGACAATAATTAATTTATTGCAGTTATTTCTGGAACAATATATCATCCAACAAAAAGTAGTTAATGTGGCAGGTTTATGAGTAATAAAAATAAGAAAGTTACCACCATAGACTGAGACAGTGGATAATAAAGAGAAATTTAAAAGTAAACTACTCCTCTTAATACAAATATCTGAAATAAATAACGTTTTTTTTTAAAGACAAATTAAGACTTAAACTACTGGAATACTAACCACAGTTTATTAAATATGCACACATTTTGATTAAAGAAGTAATAATGTCAGGCTTTTATCAAGGTTTCCACACAGATCTCCAATAAGTTAAATAAAATGTGGGTTGGGGGTTGCAGCGTTTAGTCTCATCGTGGAGGAGGGAAACAGAAAACCTCTCAAAGGAAGCCATTAACTGCAACCTTTAACAACAACCTAAACCCACTTCAGTCAGCCTGAAATCCAGCAACGCAGTTAAACCACTAAACTAGATGTTAAACTTTAAAATACAGCTCGACAGTAAGAAGAAAACCAAACCTGTTGAATAACTCCCCGTCTCTCCTCTCGGTAACGTTAGTCGTTGCTGTTGGTTAGTAACTCGTTGTTCTGCCTCCTCTTCGACAAAAAAAAAAAACACACTAATTTAACATTTAACGGTTATTTAACTTCAGGAATCAGTCGGCGATTAAAAACTATATCTAAAACAACTCGTTCGGCTTCAAACTCTTAACGTTACAACCGACTGACTCGGATCTTCTCCCGCCCGTGATTTGAGTTTCTCGCCAAAACGCTTACGGTTGGAGGGGGGTTGGATGTACCGAAAGGCATCATGGGTAGTGTAGTTTAACGTGCGTTACGCGACAAACCCGCATTAAACGCCCTTTAAACTTATTTATATGACACATATTATATAGTTTATAATTATATAATATGCACACCTGTATTTATTAACTGATTCATTAACACCCAGACCGGATTGTCTAGATAGTCATTATGTAATCTGCATAGCACTAATTCCTAAATGGTTACATCACCGACAGAAGAGGCATTCCTATCTGCATATTGTCTTTGAATACAAACTACAATGTGTGTGTGTGTGTGTGTGTGTGTGTGTGTGTGTGTGTGTGTGTGTGTGTGTGTGTATGTGTAGCTGTATTTCCTGGCAGGTTTTTATCTGAGTTAATATTTAAATTACAGCTAGACTTCTGTAAGAAAATACCAAACTTCCAAATTAGGCTACTAAATCGATTAATGAATCAAAAACAGTCTGTGAGATTTAAATATGTACACATTTTACTGACAATATATAACCATAGAGCAACAATAAAAAATAAAAAAAACAGCATATACATGTCTACTGTAAAAATATTATTAACTCTTATTTAAAAAAAAGGTGCAAAGGTTGTAAATGAGCTTTATCTGAGGCGGAAACGGTCATTTACCTGAGCAACAGTCGTCAGGGAGGAAGACGGTGAAGTTCACACTGTAAACCACCAACATGTCAGTCAGGAGTTTACGCTTTCGATTTAAATTCCTTTTTTTCTGAGGAACAAGACAGTCAACTTTAAAAAACAGCTTTAGCTCCTCCTCAGCTCGTGTATTGGACAGCAGAGGACAACGCAGCGGGAGCAGGAAGTAAACACACTTCCTCTAGGCTCTTTCAGAATATAAACACTAATTATATTAGTGAGTCTGTTTTCAAGTTCTTTTATATAATATATCTCACATTGATTCTGTTTATTATCGTGATGCTGTTGATGCAGACTGTTTTGAATAGTATGGTTTTTACACAAAACAGCATAAGTGCTTAAAAATATATTTTTAAAAAAATCCAGAATCTATGACTATGGAGCTATTTTAATTAAAAAACGTTAAACTACAGGACACAAGATGTCTCCTACTTCACTGTAAAGTTTTGTCATAGTAGTACATTCTTTTAGTTAGTTAATTCTTTGGCTATATGTGTTATTCCTTTGCACCATTGCACTATTGTCTACTGTATACAAATGTTTGTTTATAGATATGTGTAACTGTACATTTAATTCTGTCTTTTTTGTTGAACTTGTTCTGTTTATTCATGCTGTCAGTCTGTGTTTGTACATTGAGAGCAAACGTAAAACCACAGTCAAATTCCTTGTACGTGCACACACACCTGGCCAACAAAAGTGATTCTGATTTCGAAGTTGCATATTTGACCACGACTGATTTCCAAACTATTTCTGATGTAAATTCTGCTGGTGTGTTAAACTCAGATTTCACAAATAAACTTCCCCCCTTCATCAGCAACTGTCTTCTAGTGTCAAACTCTGCACAATCATTCTGCACAATGAAGCTCAAACATTCAACTGAAGTTAAAGTAAGCAAAACCCATTTTTTTTAATGGAGGGAGACTTACTTTATGGTAGCAATGTCTAACAGAATGGTGCTAAACTTGGTATCTATCTCTAATAAAATAAACTGGTTTTATTCTGAAGGAGGAAATGACATGTTTCCGGCATTGTGCTGCCTGCCCTTGGTCTATTTGACACTTGATACAGATAGAAAGTTGCACAACAGCTACACATGCCACTCATCTGACTGACTTACTGCTTGTCCTTTTCAGAGGACAGAGACTCACATGAGGTGAATTGTAAGAGAGAGAGAGAGAGAGAGAGAGAGAGAGAGAGAGAGACTAGATGTTTCCAGTATTTTTATACCAAAAATGAGACCAAATATCCCGCTGACCCCTCCCAAAATTACCACAAAGACTCATATCTATCATATATATCTATATATGTATATATAATGCTGCTCTAACACAGTTAGATCATTGTACAGTATGTACTGTTACAGTGCAAACTCCATATATAGATTCACATCTAGAGACAGAAATAACTCCACGGTTACATGCCAGACTGTAACATTTTGAGAAATGCATTGAGGTGAGAAATATAGTCTACTGAACATAATGTAACCAATGAATATGTTTTATAATATATACGTGGTTTCTAAACCTGCATCCCATTAATATAATTAATGGAGCTTTTTTCATGTATGTCCTTTTTCCTTCACCCTTAATTTAGTCTAACTTTCATTACAAACTTTTTAAGTGAGTGCTGAATTTAAGTAAAAGGTGAGAATCTTTTTCACTGCTTTGGAGATTTGCAGAGGTATTGATTGGTAAGGTGCTTTACTCTGAAAAGCTTCCTGTCAGGATGCCAACTTTAGCTACTTTTACTTGTAGTTTAAGACACAAGATTAACTAAAGTTAACAGTAATGGTGCATAAATTTGAGTAGAATATCTGAGTTCACTATCCGTTTCCTAATGTAAATAACTGTATAGAATATTACAGTTATTATTATCATTGTTGTTTTGTCACTCCAGCAACAAGAAGCCTGCAACCGTTCATTCACATGACACTTTTCAGCACAAACATTTCTACAATAAGTCTTTTATTTCCCACAGCTATAAAAACAATCTACCGTAAACCAGAGCAGCGACAGCCAGAATCACAAGACAACAAACGAATCCTTCAATATGTAAAGACTGTTCATGTAAAAAGACAGAACTGATGTAAAGAGCTACAGCTAGAGCAGAAGTACAGGTTTGGCCCTTGTATTAACTGGTGGAAGCTAATGATAACATTTAAATTAGTATAAAAAACGGCAGCAGAAACAGCTCAGTTATGATTAAAAAAGGTGAACATAACACACTAGTAGTTTGAATCTAAATAGAAAGATAATTTTTTTATTTATTTCCAAGTCTCAACATTAACAAATACCCTCTCTTTAGTGTGTTTTTGGTGGAAATAAACGATGGCGACAGGAAGATTTAAACCCTTTCACTGTCCTGAAGGCGTCAGTGGCGTGTTGTTTAGCATTATTTATAATCTCCCCACACTCCGACAGCCTTGCCGTCCCACTCTGAGGTGGACAGACACTTGACGAAGAAGTGTCCCAGGTCGTGTTTGGAGATAGCTCTTCCTTTCAGCATGTTCTCCGCCGCCGTGTAGCGCTCTGTCAGAGGAAGGTCGTCTGGAGGGAGCGAGACAGCAAGAAATGTTAGTTAATGAACTACCAGTCAAAGATGTGGTAGAGAGACGGTAAAACAAATGAAACAGGAAATAGTAGAACATGAGATACTCTGCTGGATCAATACTGAGGATTCAAACGTTACAGTGTCTCAATTTGTGTGTTTTTTCTGATTAGACTGTCATATTTCTACATTTCTATTCATATATTGTAACATTTATCACTGAAATAAAGCAGTCTGCAAATATGTGTGAGGTTTTTTATAGTTTTTTAAGAGCTGTAAATTATCTCTGATGTCCACAATCTGATGTTTTCCTTTAAATGTTTAATTATTTGCTTTGGATCAAATTCACACAAAATAATGTCTAGAGCTGCACTTTTATGCCAGAAATATTCTTTGAAAGTATTCTCTTCCACTTTTGTTTGGAATAAAGCTCTTTGTTTCTACTTCCCACTGACCACCAATGTGAGGAGGCATGACGGCCACGTAGTCCAGCCCCGATGTTTTGAGTATTGTGTACATCCTGTCGTGGTCCTCTGTCACAGGAATCATGCGGGGCGGGACTTTGGAGCGATCCCACAGCAGGAAGGCTAGGAGGGATACGGATAAAGATGAAGAAAATAGAATATGCATGCAGCGATTGCAGTAATTAATAGGATGAGTGGAGAAGGATGCAATTAAGGCATTATTAAATCTCATGTGAAGAGGAAATGAGTGGAGATGAAAGAGAAGCGGAGAAAGAAGTTTATTTCCATTTATCTCCTTTGCACAGATGTTTGTCACATAAATTAAATCTTTATTTGCTTTCTTTAATTTCTAGTTTTAAATTGGCTTTTGTTATCACTCAGAAAGAAAGGGCAATTAACATACATACAAATGTATATATCTGAGATTCACTGCTCATCTGAAGCCAACAGAGGCTTAAACAAGAATGAAAAGACTTTTTATTTCACCACCTCATCTACTCATCATCATACAAAGGTACCTGACATGCAGCCGACCACTTTGCGGATCCCACGAGCCTTCATGCCGTCAACGATGTTCTTGGTGCCTTCAGACATGAGGGTGGTGGCGCCTGATGAGCACAGGTCAGATCACAGATCAGATCACAGACTCATACCAAGGTGGAAAGTAATTAAATACTTTAAAACTGTAGTCAAGTAGAGTTTCGAGACACTGGCACTTTACCCAACTACAGTATTTCCAGTGGCTGACCCTAAACATTTGCCTCCCTGTATTTCAGAGAGCTGCTCTATCACAGAGTAAAGTGAAAACACAAGATTAAAACCCATTAACTGTGTTCATTTTTAATAAACAGAGTATTTAGATGAGAAGACCAACATTAAAAAACTTCATTAAAAGCATCAATAATTAATAACTGAAAGGAAGTGTTCTGTTACTGAAGGGAAATGTGACCTATCATAGTGTTGAATAAAGTCCTGTTATTTTAACTTTTGTGAATCTTGTATCCATGTTATCTGCATGTTGCTTTGTGTATAAGCTGATGTATCTGCACTTAATAAGTCAGTCATTTATTGAAACATGGAAATGTTGGACTGTACGCACATTTTCTTTAGCATAAAGTCATATCCACCTTTTCACGTTGTCACAATGAAGTCACATAAAGTTATATGCTGTACAATCTTATGGCGACCTCTAGTGAATGTTTTACATTATTGCACCATAAAAACCCCACAGTCATTTTGTATAAAAGGTTTAGTTATGTAAGGAAACATGAACATTAACAATCAGTGCAAAGAAATACTGTAAATTGATCAGTCAGTGTAAACATGTGAGAAGCCCAAAGCAACAACAGTAAGAGAAATGCTGCAACTGTGGGACAGTAAATTCAAAACCACAGACAACAATCCCAAAGGCATCAGGGAAGGGGAAATTAAGCATTAAAAAATGTAGAAATTTGATTAAGGCAATTCCATCATGTATGTGTATGTAAGAAAGATAGAAAAATGTAAGAAATATAAGTTTTCTTTGCCTAGGAAAGACATGCACTTTGTCTTCTTCTCTTATAATATCTGTGGGGCCTTACTGAGACTGTTCCTGGTGCCGAGGATGATGATGACAGCATCCTGGCCTTCCAGTGCCCTCTTCACATCCTCTTTTTTAAGCACGTCTCCCACCTCCACTCTGGATGCTTTGTGGTCGGCGGGCAGCCTGGCAGGGTCCCGCACCAGCACCGTCACATTGTATCCTGATGGAGGAAACACGGAAACGAAACCAACGGATCAACAGAGACGCAGCAGAAACAGGCAACAAATGCTATCAGCATAATGTACTTAAAGTATCAAAAACAGAAAAATAGTCCCTGTTAGTGTCTGACTATTAGATATGATGTTTTTGGATTAATATTACAGCTGTGTTAATGTGCATGTTGCATTTTACCACTGTAGACGTTTAAGTTTGAGCTCATTTTAACCACTTTATATCCTGTTGGGTAGTTTAATCTACAGATAGGCTTCATATTCTATAAGATCACCATAAAAAGTCAATTATTTATGACCCTGTTTGGAGCTTTGAGACAATGCATTCAGCTAATGCAATTTTAACATGAAAGAACACTTTATTATTTAGTTTGTTAGAAAAAGTCAAATTCAAAAAAGCCAAATTTGGAGATACATGCTTTTCACTGGACAGGAAGGGTATGAAAAAATGTAATCTGAAATGTAACAAGTAACAAAAGCTGTCAGACAAATGTAGTGGAGTAAAATGTAGAATATGTGCCTCTGAGATGTAGTGGAGTAGAAGAATAAAGTTGCATAAAACGGAAATTCTCAAGTAAAATATCTCTAATGTGTCCTACAGTACAGTCCTTTAGTAAATGTACTGTAGTTAAACTGGTACCTGCTGCACGCGCTGTAAACTGCAACAACAGGAGGACATGATTCAAACTCCTTCAAGTCTTTTCCAGAAGCTCCTGCGGTAACTTCTCCATCTACATGAAGCTGATCCCACCCTTCGTGTACAGGCCAGATAGTGAACATCTTCCACTATCAGATCTCTGTGTCGCAGCCTGCTGTGACTCAGCAAAATACTGAACTGTAACATCTAACATGACTCAACTGTTTTCTGTCCCGTGGTGAAGAGGGAGAACGGAAATATTGCTTCATAAAATTGATCATATGACATAAAGTGTTTATGTAAGTGATTTGTGAGTGGATGTGTCTCTCGGTAGGGTTTTTGGGGGGAAATAGAAACTAATAATGGAGCAAATTAGCCTCAGTTCAATGTGAATGTATAAATAAAGAATACAACAGTTGATACTGAAATTTCCATTAGATTAAGAACAAAGATTTACCTCTGAAATGTGTTTAAATCAGATTACATTTGCTACAAAATTTCAAAAGCTTAAATTATATTAGGTCTGCTGTATTAAAAAAATATATTATCTGTTTATTATTTTTTAGTTTTGACCAAATATCTTTATATGGATTTATAGTAATAGGCCTATAATGTTTTAGGGAAGACTACCAGTGTTTAAAAAATACACTTAAACAAACAGAAACTTCATAGTAATGTGAATGCTATCACTAAACACGAGTTTAAACTGGCTCATTTTACAGTAAGCAAAATCCCATCTAGTCTCATATCACTCATTATTGATATTATAGCCTATTGATTTATTTCCCAGCAATAAATCCGTCCATCCCCAACCTTCTGGTGTAAAGCTATTATCAACCAATACTGCACACTCAGCTAAACAACTTATCGATCGATTATTGGCCCTTCAGATGACAGGGGACTCCCATGAGCTCACGTTGACCCCCCTCTGGGTCCCTGTAGGTGGGCAGATAATTGATCTGATGCAGTTATAGACCGTTATAGACTGGAGGGGAAACTTTCACCAGAACAGAAACTACACAAACTACTCCCTTTCTCTCTGCTGCAAACTCCAAACCCCCAACACCACCACTGGAAGGTTATTATAGGAACCCACAGGGGCCCATCAAGGCTCCCTGTTCGACCGGTACAATGCATGAATAGGATATCGATCCCATGGACTGTGTGCTGCTGTCGGGTCTGCGCTCACCTGCAGCCACCGCCAGCGGCAGGGTCACCAGCCCGGTCATCCCCGTGGCTCCAAATATCGCGACGTTTCTGATGGAGTCCGACATGATTCTTAACAAGCGAGGTCCTCGACACAGCAACAACTCGGCGGCCAAACTGTGTCCGCTGCAAAGGATACTTTCGCTTAAGAAGTCACATTTGACATGTATAGAGGAACGCCTCTTTTCTTCGTCGACAGGAAGGAAGTGCAGCGCTTCCGCAGCTCAGACTCCTCCCTCCCTCCCCCCTCCTGCATGGGGGAGTTAAAGGAGACCTGCTGCTGTCTCTGCTGCACTGCCACCACAGTGCAGAGGGCATCTGTCTGCTTCTGATCGTCCACCACTGTGCTGTGTGAAAGTGTGTGACTCAGAAGAAGCTCTTAGTGAAGAGTTGGACATTTGTTTTAATTAGATAATGAGGAAATTGGTTTCTCACCCGAAACTCAGGAGACAACTACAAACCAAAGCTGGAAGAACTGTTTGAGGTTATTGTATTACCCAAAAAATAAAATCATAAACTAGATTTTATACTCAACACTGGAGAGAATCACTCAAACATTTACAACAGAAAATACATTAAGATAGTAAGAGTAAAAACGAAAAAGGTAAATAATGTTTTTAAAAAAAAAAAACACTTCCAGCAGCTCGGAGCATAAAAACTAAAAGCTGCCTCACCAAAGGGTTTTTGTTCTGCACTGTGGGGCCACACCAGCACATACTCTGTGAGAATGTGTGACATATATATTGGTGGAAGCCCATTAAGTGCTTTAAAAACAAGTAAAATAATGTGGACACCTAATCACCAGATCACACACATCTTTTGGTCTTGGACTGATGTCGAAGCTGCCATTAAGACTATATTAGGATGTGATATTGAGTTCACATCGCTCTCTCTATACTTAGGAAACACACCAATTACAAGACGCTGGCTTCTCAGAGAGCCTCCCACCCTGAACCAATGGACAGATACTGTAAACAACAAACACAGCAGGGAACATATGACATTCAATTTAAGATTAGAGAAAGAAACGGGAGGGTTATTGGTCTGGATGGAACACAAACCTCTCTACCAAAGGGTATGACAGCTGAAGCTACAGTAATATAAACCTTAAAGCAAATGTCACTGATTCTGATACCCAACAACTGCTGAGTATAGCATCCAATGTAACTGAGACACCTCATTTATTGTGTTATAACAGAAAAACAAATATAAGATTCCTGCTTCACATTAAAAGTGTAATTTAGGTCTTTATCTGAGGTGTCCAAGCTTAGTTTGAATTATAAAGAATTTAATACGTTCGCTCAGTTCCTGAAAAGAAACCTTGCTATAAGCAAACTTTAAAACTGGTCAGGTATTCGTCCTGGTCTCAATATATGGCTGCTAAATGTTAAAGGGTATGAGATGATTCAGGGGCAGAACAGCGAACGGACAAAAGGTCAAAACTATTCTTCGATAGACTCACGATGTGCTCGTAATGTGGCGAGTACACAGAGGAGGCTCACCTGCTTTTGTGCTTCCCTTCTTTTTTAATACATCTCCTCAGGGCTTCTAAAGCAGACTCTCTTTGAGAGACCTCAAGTGCACTTAGCTTCCCCACTCCCTTTTTCTTTATTGAAAACATTGCCTTTGTACTGAGACAGGGTCACAAACTGTCAGATTTTTACCACAACATTATCGTTTTTCAAAATAAAGACTATTTATCTCATTAAATCCTACTGTGTTCCTGGAAGTTAGGATTTATAAAACAGTGCTGCTTCCCATCTCATATTAGCTGATTGATACTGAAGCATATAAACAACAATAAATTTGCAGAATTAATTGATTTTAGAACAGAAGTTTAAAAAATGTGAATCAAAACCTTTAATAACTGTAGAAAGAAAACATTATTTTTTTAGCAGTGAATTGTATTTTCCTGATCATAAGAGGTCTTAAAGACAAAGAATGTCTTTGTTTAGGCCTATTTATGATTAAATGAAGTAAATCCAATGTACTACTGAATGTAATGGTTTAATTATGTTACATTTAATTAACTTACTTCAGCTCAGTATCAGCATTTAGTGTCCTGACCTCGAGTTGCCTGAAAGAAGTTTCTTGGCTTCCGCAGTTTTATGGTGGTTTATTTAAATGTGACTACATCCAGGTCAACAAAATAAATAAATAACGGCCTCACTAACACCATTTAGAGCTTATATTTTTATTTTAAAGACCCATCATTTCCTAGGAAGTGACTTTGACTCATGACCTCAGTATGTATTTAAAACAGCTGAGGCAGCTATAGGGAATATAACATACAGCAACCACACCTGTGACCCAGCTGAAATGATACCATCAGCTTGGTTTATGTGATTAGCTGCTTAATTAAACACAAAATGTTTAATTATTCATAATTTATAGTTATTTGGTTGGAAATTCAGAGTCAGTCGGAGCCCCGCCCACTAATTCTTGGTGTAATCAGATTACACTTACATAAAAATGTAGTAATACAATTTTAAAACACCATTCTGGTCTCCAGTGAAACCATAGCTACTCTTCCAGCTGCTCGTCCCCCCAGAGGACATTATCATGGCCTCTAGTGGAAAGAAAAGGCTTTCACTGGGTGGAAATTTCACCATTATTTCATCTTTAAAGCCTTCCAGCTGTGAAAATGGTCTATAGGCTGCTGCCTGAATGTCTTTCTTTAAAAACACACTGAGCTGAGGAAACATTATTAATGTAAAAAGTATTTTCTAAGGTTTCATTGTTCTGTTGTCTGTAGAATTCATCTTAAAGGTCCAGTGTGAAACATTCAGGAGGATCTGTTGTCAGAAATGGAATATAGTATTTATAGGTATGTTTTCATTAGTGTTTAATCACCTGAATATAGCAACTGTTGTGTTTTTGTTACTTTAGAATGAGCAGTTTTTATCTACAGACGCCGCAGGTCGCCTTCCATGGAGTCCACTATGTTTCTACAGTAGCCCAGAAGGGACAAACCAAACACTGGCTGCAGATTGGGCCTCTTAAGAGTTTCGCACCCACCGTAGTTTCTCCTACACACGTCACAGCCCGTTCTCATTCCCAGGTCATCAAACACAGACGTGAGCTGACGTTTATTAGTTGCAATCAGCAACTTCACCACTAGATGGCACTAAATCCGCCACACTGGTCCTTTAAAAAATAAAGTAATCAAGTTACGTTACTTTAATATCGTGATACTTGGATTACTGACTACATCTTTTAACAGGTTATTAGTAATTGTATCGGATTACATTTTTAAAGTTACCCTCCAACCCTGTTAATGACTCATATTAAGTAGTTAGTTGGTTGGTCATTGTTACACTTTTACAACCATGATGAAGGTAAATTATACTGAACTTCAGCCAGGACACCTAAAACCTCAGTTCTAGGCTAATGCCAACTAGCTGCATGGTCTCACATTGTAAAGTGAAAGTGATTACAAACCCAAACACAGTGTCATATTTAATTTTTTTTGATAACTGATAATAAATGATGATAAAGGATTGGCTTTTTTGAACATTTGGAACAATTTGACATTTTGAACGTTTGATTTTTTGCTGTGAAATGACTGTAAAACAGTCTCATGTGGCTTCTTGTCATTAACAGTCTCTTAATATTTTATTCAATGTTAATTTAATATCCTTTAATGGTTAGAAACAATTGTTGCCAAAGCCTTAATAATTTGAAAACAACACAATTCTAAAAAAAGAAAAGATAAATACATTAAGAATACATTTCATAACAATGCTAATCATTAAATAAAATACAATAAGTATCCTCTCTCTCTCTCTCTCTCTCTCTCTCTCTCTCTCTCTCCCCTCCTCGCCGCACCAATGCTGATATTTCTCTCCAGCATCACCAGCGGAGAGGAAGAGGAGGAGGAGGAGGAGGAAGGAGAGGTTGTGTCAGGTGGAAACGGGGACCTCTATGGATATCATCATCACCCTCCACCGGCTCGCATCCTCAGCACCGACAGCATCTCCCTGCCGGCGGTCACCGCTGCAGGCACGCAGCGCCCTTTAGATGCGCCAAGGCGTCGTATTTCCACGGTAGAGAGTCTCCGCTTCTCTCGTTACCCTCACAAACCGCTTCCTCCTGAAATAAGGACTAACCGAGGGAAGACCCTGCTGGAATAAACGCGGAGCCTCAGTCTCCTCCATTGATAAACCGCTCTCCTCATCGATTCAGCCCAACGACGTCTTGGTATAAGAGGACAAACCCGACCCACAGAACTGACACTGAGGCTGAAGGTAAGGCTGATAGAAGGACGACAGGATGATTCCTTTCTCCACGGGATGTCGTTTTATTCTGTCCTCCCCTGTGTGAGAGCCGGTAGCCGAGGTGCACGGTGTTTTTTCCTTTTTTTTTGCAGGGACGCCGGCCTGCATTTGGGTGCAGGGTACCGCAGTGATCCGGCGGGGGGACGCGCTGTTTCATGTCTTTTTCCACCTACATGTGTTAGACGATGCACGCCTGGGAAAGTGTTTAAGATGCCTGCCAGAGCGGGCTTGTCTGATTTGAAAGGATAAATGGATTAAGAAGCAGAATAGAGGCCTAGTGTATGGGCTGCATGATATGTTGTTGCATGTTGTACCGGATCACTTTAGGCTTCTTTAGCATGTTTTAACTTTACATTGCAGATGTTCACGCTGGATTCTGTGGCCCTTGTTGGCAAACTGCCTCAAAGCAAATAGCAACAGAACTTCCCAGGCGACAAATGTGTCCTGTAACACTATACATCCCTGCAGGAAGTTACCCTGTCTCTGCTCCCACTATGTGACCTCACATTACTTTGGCATTTCTGCCCCTTGTGGTGTCAGTTATTCCTGAATCCTGGGGGGGTTGTATAGAAGGTGAATTCATTCACATTATTCTCATGCTTTATTGAGACAAGGCCAACAGCAGCCTAGCTTGCTGTAGCATGAGAGAGCCAGATGCACTGTAGCCTGTCAGGTCTTAATGTGGTGTGTTTGATCACAGCTGCAGTGAAAAGTGACTACAACCTCGGTTTGGCATTGATACTACCGCTGTGTATTTGTATATGTATATATATATATATATATATATATATATATACATATATATAGAGAGAGCTGCTGTAGGGAGCATATGCAGAGGTGTGCAGGCAGGTGTAGGTTAGCTTTGGTTTGTTGGTGCAAGGTGTGTGTGTGTGTGTGTGTGTGTGTGTGTGTGTGTGTGTGTGTGGATGTTGGAGGAGGGTGAACAGGAAAGAAAAGACAGGCGTGTGTGTGGTATTAACCTAAACTCTTAATGGCAGTGTCACTAAGCAAAGGCAGTAGTAATTAAGTCAATTTATCAACTGATAATAGCAAACAGCAAACAATACTGCCAGTATATATGTAGTGACTGTGGTAGACTATGCTATACAGACTGGTATTTGTTTACCTTATTGTACTTTCTGTAAGTTAAATCCCTGTAGTGTCACGTATCAACTTCTGTAATACGCCTGCAGGTTAGTGTGTTATGCTCTGCAGTTTACAATATTATATTATATATTTATTACCTTTTATGGTATTACGTCTTCTCTGCTATAATAAATATTTATATGATACAAAAAGAAATTGTTGTTATATTTAAGATTTTGTTCACAGCATTAAGTGTTTTTAAAATACCTTCATATTATTACAGCATCATATGTTACTGTATCTGGTACTAATTCTAGAGTTTAGTAATTATAGTAACTTTTATAGTGTAAATAGTATTATAGTATATACTGTACATACTGTATATACACATACCCATATATATACTTGTGTATATACACACATAGTCACTAATAACAGTTAGTATATTATAAAAATACAATAATATAGTAAAGTGATTACTAGTATATCTCACTTTACAACGTATTAGCATGCTCTATTACAGGATATGGTTCTTTTTGACAGCTTTCTTGTTGTCATCCCTGTCCTGTCTGGATGATACACAGCCTCTCTGGGACACTGAAGCGCTCTGCTGCTGCTCCGTTGCTTATCAGACCACAAGGTGACTGTTTTGATTAAGACTTGTGGTCTTGCCGACTCAGAACTGGGCGTCGGCTGCTGCTCTTGCTTGCAGATGTTGTTTCACTCCGCTGAGGTGAACTGAGTGGAAGTGACTCAGTGCAGTGTGTAAAGTGCGTACTGCGTGACGTCACAGTGAAGGATCGAGTGAGAGTGTGAAAGAGAGAGAGAGAGACAGAGAGCTTTCACCCCCGTAAGAACAATCTAGGTTTCAGATATTTTTGGAAAGTGAGATCATGCTGGATAAAGTTGAGGATAAGTCCATCAGGTTAGGTTTGGGTCAGAATGACGGGTAAACTTACGGCTAGTTCAGCCTGAATTTAAATGTCTGAAACTGTGTGTTATTTATATACATTCAGTCATACAATGTACATTTTCATCTGTGTGGCTAAGCGGTAGTGGCTACATCTAAATTAGTACTTTTTTTTTGGCTGCTTTGTTGACAGCTCAGCAAGAAATGGCACAAGAGGAACAAACTTCACCACAGCTCCGATAAAAGAAAGCAAAGCAAGAAAGATCTCGTAAGAACAGGAACATAGAAGCGCAGCAAAACTTTAAACAACAGAGTACTCCATCATACTAGGTGGGGTTTCACAAGCAGATCCCTATCACTGCATACAGCATAGAAACACCCACCCTTAATAAGTACTGTCCTCATCTCTTCACTATAACCCCTAATAAGGACTAATAAGTATACAGAAGAATTGGTTTTAGGGACATTGGTTACTTCTATACACTAGGGTTGTAAGACAATATTGAAAAATATCTTATTGTGGTATCCATTCTTATGTATGCCATGTTGCTAACTGTGCTGATGGACGTTATAGTATTGCAGTATATTGAACCGTAACCCCTGTATCGTGATGTGTATCGTACCACCAGATTCTTGTCAGATTCTTCTTCTCTTGCTGTATAGTACAATATGTGAATTGGTAACTTGAATGTAATGGAGAATAATGCAGTTTCGTTAACAGACCAAATTGAATTGAATTCATACCTGATCAATACATAAATCAATAGAAATACCAGAAGCCAAGCATGCTCCTTGTCAGAAGGCAGATTATATATCAGCTACATATCAGAGGTCATCATAAATGTCCCCTCCGACGTTTTGATCTGTGTGTGACGATATCGATGAGGACTGCTGTGTGTGTGTGTGTGTGTGTGTGTGTGTGTGTGTGTGTGTGTGTGTGTGTGTGTGTGTGTGTGTGTGTGTGTGTGTGTAGATAAAAAAGGGGGGAAGTACACTGAGGGTCTGGTCCCCATTAAGCCTTAGAGAAACAGAGACACAGAGCTGCTGCCACTGACTGATTAACACTGGCAGCTGTCTCTCTCTTTCCGTCTCTCTCTTTCTTCATCTTTCTGGTGATATGCCCTCCTGTCTCTCTTGCTCCTTCGATTTCTTTCTTTTTCCCTAATTCTCTCTATTTCACCTCTTCTTCCATGTCAGCTCTGTAACATCTCTCTTCTACAAAGGCACCCTCTATTTTTACTCTCTCTTTCTCTCTCTCTCTCTCTCTCTCTCTCTTGACTGCCTCTCACTCATTCTCTGTCTGTCTGTCTCTGAATCTAACCTCTAAATCAAAAGAGATGGACAGTCGGACGTCGGTGATCTACATTAGGCTATTCTTGGATCATTAGTGCTGCACACATCCTACATGTTGGTAAGATGGTGACTTTCCTGTTGGCGCTGGGTTCCAGTTAGAGGTTAGATGTTTGTAGATGAAACATGGACACATGATAATAATGTAATATTCACCATAAATAAGTGTTGGCAGCAATGCCACATCTGCTTTTAAATCACTGTGTTGGTGTGACGTGAGAAAACTAATTGATAAGAAATCTTTCCCAAGATTTCTATTTGGATAAAGGATGTTCTTATTATGAAAGAGCCTTTCTGTTATCATATTTAAACAATATCACACCTTCTATCAGATCTGTGAAGGTCACGGGATTATATTGATAATGAATTTAAAACACTGAGCTTGTTTGAGACAAGTTTTGCTCACTTCTTTGGCTAATTATGAAGCCTGCTACATAACTGTCGTCGTTATATGAAAGTAAGAATCAAAAGAGTCATGTTTTGTTCTGATATTGATCCCAGCAACAACCAGTGTTTTTTTGCAGTCCGAATGAATGCCATACACAAGCTGTTTGAGTCTCAGGTTCATATTGTAAAACACACTGATAGTTCTTAGGACACAGATATGATCTCTGGACCTTTTTGAGAGGCAGGAAGTACGGCCCATTAACCAAAACTGGAACCAGGTTACGTCAAAAGGGTTCTTGGAAAAGTTCTCGCAGCTGAAAGGGCCTGATGAGTGGTTCCGAGAGCGGAACTGGGCCCACGTGGCTGGGGTTACAGACAGTTTGTTATTAGTTTGTTCACTCTCAGATTTAAAAAACAGTGACCCACAAATGTTCTGGAGCTACCTCATATTTTCTCCTCAACTACTCAAATCTCAGTAATTGCTAAAACCTGAGATGGGCATATGGTTTAAAGTTTTGGCAGGTTTTTCTTCTAGTGTGCATCTATTTGGAATGACGTGATTGGACATCTGAGAATAAACTGATATAAACTAAACAGAAATTCATCCAAAAATGCCAATGATGTACATTTGCATCCTGTTTCGTAGTCACACAGTTTATATGCTAACAACCAGGACCAACGGTCTTTGACACTAGTGTTGGCGACTGACAGCTTCACTGCAGCATTTGGGGGTTAAGTGCTTGTTTCAAGGGCGCCTGATGTTTGGCATCCCATGTATTGAAAAGATTAGAGTATTGTCACTCTTCGGTAGTATGGAGGCATCATGCCAGATGCTAATAGCCAAAACAGAAGTTGTGCAGGTCAGACGGAGAGGACTGGAGGTCAGGACAGAGGGATGAGAGGGAATAGAGGGAGAGGACATTTAAAAAAGTGTGAAGGATAATAAAAGGAGAGAGCAGGGAGGCGGGGTGGTGGCTGACGCTTTCATTACACCATTGGTGTAACGGTGATTTATTGTGGTTACCAACGGCGACAGCATAGCTGGGGAGAGGGGGCAATAATAACACTGAGTGGTTTAGAGGAGAAAGCAGAACGACAGTCCTGCACTCACACACACACACACACACACACACACACACACACACACACATATACAATAGTGCTGACACTATAGGTTATTGATTGAATAAGAAAGATTAATCAGCGATAATTTTGATAATTCATTATTTAAGTCATTTATAAAGAAAGAATGTCAGAAATTGTCTGGTTCCTGCCTCTCAAATGTGAGGATTTGTAGCTTCTCTCTTTTTTATATTGTTGTAAATTGAATATTTTTTGGTTTGAACTGTTGGTTGAACAAAACAGACGATTTAATGACGTCACCTTGGCCTCTGGGAAATTGTAATAGTTTTTTTTTTTTACTGTTTTCTGATAGAGTGAACAATGAATCAGTTCACAAGTGACAATAATGAGTTGCAGCACTAATATACACCTGTAAAATCTTGCTGTGTGATGCAAGTTTATGTTTTAAACATTGCTGTAAAAGTTTTAATAATACCACACTTATCAGAATACACAGTAATGTAAAAGAAAGGCTGAGCTGCAGTCTCACAGTTTACAACTGTGTCTCTGAGACAGACAGGTAAAAGTCTGGCCGGCGAAACTTCAAAGTGAAGAGAACAACAGCTGAGAGCGCAGTGACCGAGCTGAAGTACACTCACGCAAACACACTCAAACCACCTGGGGGAAAAAAACAAAGATGGCCACTCTGAATATAGAACACTTCTTTTTAGACGCTGTCCTATAAACCATGGTGAGGTTAGGGTTCGGGTCCAGCAGGAGAAAAACAGAGTTGCCTCAGATGATCTAGATTGTGTCCTAAAAGTGAGCGATGAGACGACATCTGTGGTGCAAAGTGCTCATTATTGCCGGCCTGTCTTTACTGGGGTTGTACTGTAAATCACACAGTGTGGGCGGGGAGGTGACGACTTTTTCCTTGGATCTTCTGTTAATGGAGCTTGACGATCTGCTCTAAACATTAACCGTCCTGCTCATCATCTGTTTTAGAGCTGCAACAAACAAATATTGATTAATCTGCTGATTAATCAATGATTATTAGTTGCAATGATTTTCCCAGGTGACTTATTTGAATTGCTTGTTTTGTACGATTTTAGCAAATCCTAACATTTGGTACCAGAGACTGTTTTTTGCTGATTATCTGATCTGATAAAAGACTGATTAATGCTGCTGATTGTTAATTGATTAATCAACTTATCTACTCAGTTATAGCTGTTTATTCCTAACAAAAATATCTCTTAATCTGCACTTAATAAAGAACCAGACAGTGAGTGTTTACAATGTACATTTCACCGTTATTATTTGAATTATTATCATATTCTGTTTAGGTGTAAATGGTGGTGTTTTATTGATAGCGTGTGTGTGTGTGTGTGTGTGTGTGTGTGTGTGTGTGTGTGTGTGTGTGTGTGTGTGTGTGTGTGTGTGTGTGTGTGTGTTTCCACTGTAGCTACTGTGGTTTACCCATGTCTGTGGGATGTTCATGAGATCACACACACACACACACAGACATCATTCCTGCTCTTTCCTCCAGCTCCATAGAGAGTTCAGAGAGGTTGCTGCTGTTGAAACGTTTGATCCTTCAGTGTTGGAACAGTAGACTCTGAATCCTGGACTGACTGAAACATATGGACTCTGTAACCCCGTTGCAGTCCGCTGGTGCTGTGCTGTTGGTCCTCCTACTTCGGACCCAGGTTTAGTGTTTGACAACTATTGTTTTAGCACTAAAATGATCTGTATTTGTTGCCTTTAAATGCCTCAAAGATAAGATTGTCTTAGAGATTACATAATACCAATACAGCAACATTTATAGGTCTCAGCAGATTTAACGAAGAATATTCACAGATCAAATTCACTAAAGACATCTTTCTTTGAGTATATTTAATTTACGAGCAGTATAAATGGAAAATGGAAGCATTCAGCGGCTGATTTACTCCCATCACTTGCATTTCAGTGCAGCTTTGTGGTTTTAGGTGTCGATTACCGATCAACTTCCCATAATGGCTGATGTGAGAGCAGCAGCATTACTCAGCACTTTATTTCTGACACTGTAGTCAAGACAGAGAATACTGTTTGCTGATGTTTCCAGTCTTTGTTGCAACCTTTATGGGATCATTTTACAGTTTTTTTTTTTTATAAACAACAGTCTTAGAATGAATCCCCAGTATAGTTAATGCTTGCAGTTGATTGGCCCTTAACATACTATTGGTGTTAAGGTAAAATGTTGTACTTGGATAAAATAAGGGTCCATACTGAGTCTCTGCACATTCAAAGCTGTTGTTTTTGTTTTTTTAGGTTGCAGGTGCTGTTTGCTTTCTGTAGCTCTGATACTTGGACAACATATTATGTACATACGTACAGTATTTTATCATATATACATATTCTGGAGGGTGAGGGTACACTGCTCCGCATAGACTTCAAAATCCTCCTGTTTACGTTCAAGAACATCCAAAACCTTTCCCCTCCTTATCTGTCCGAACTCCTCCACATCCCCACCCCTTCCCGTTCCCTCAGATCTGCCTCCTCGGTCCACCTCTCTGTCCCTCCCGCCCGCCTCATCACCATGGGGAGCAGGGCTTTCAGCCGCTCTGCCCCCCGACTCTAGAACTCACTCCCACCGGACATCAGGAACCTGTACTCTCTCACACTCTTCAAATCAAGACAAAAAACTCACCTATTCAGAACTGCATACCCCACTTAACTATCCACATTGTCTTTTCTTGTCTGTTTCTTATTTCTTACTGTTTTTTTATTTTTATGTATTGTACGGTGTTCCTCGAGTGCCCAGAGAGGCGCCTTTAAATAAAATGTATTATTATTATTACTGCTAGATGCCACTAAATCCTGCACGCTGACTGATCTCTGGTCCGGTCTTTATTCAACCCCAGTATTTATTAGATATAAGTGGAAATGCAGGAGCACTTCTTTACATACGTTCAGTGTACTCGTCACAAGGAATACTCTTGGAGCTTGATCCATACTCGAGACTAAATGTCAGGATATCTCAGCTTCGGCTCCTTTGACCAGTCCCCCCAATATTACGGTAATGTAATACAGAAATTGCTGCAATATGTCCTGAATATTGTTGCTGCTTTCGTGAGACAGAAGCTCCCAATGAAAATACTGAATAGTGAGTTCTTTGTTGATATTCTGATGTTGAAACCAGTAGGTTTTGCATTCATACGGCTCTGAATGAAGATAAAATCATTCTCAGGTCAATGTGTGGTCATTTTTCTTTTGTTTTTATCTCCACCGTCTGAGATTTCCCGCAGGCTGTGATCAGTCTCTGGAGGCTAAGCATGAAGCATCTCACTGCTGCTGTTACTTATAGAGCAGAAAATGGATAGCTAGGAGTGTGTGTGAGTATGTGTGTGTGTGTGTGTGTGTGTGTGATTGTCAGACATAGTGTCGACTCTCTTGCCTGAGGCTGGCTGATTCCTCAACAGCTGAGTCTGATTATTAGAATAAAACACACACACACACACACACACACACACACACACACACACACACACACACACACACACACACACACACACACACACACAGACACACACATCAGAGCAGTCCTGCGAGCTGTGAGTCTGATTGATTGAAAGACACCAGGTGGTCGAGGTTAGGCGAGGATCACGGCAAGGAGAACAGAGGACGTACACTCACACACACACACACGTAGTATTTTGACATGATAGAGGGGCAGTTTGACTGATGTAGACTTGCTGTTATATGCTGGTATAGCTATTGTTTCTCTCCTGTAATCCAATGATGGGTTTTGATACGTCTCTTATAATGTCTTACAATTATATTACACATATTATATTTTCTATTCTTACACTGTTGGCCTCTTCTGTGAGTCTGTGAGACCTCATAGCAATACACTTGCTGTTTGTCACTAGAAAGCTACATTTTCATATATTTAAGGAACAGTGTGGTTAAAAATATTACTTGTTTTATTTTCCATGTACTCCCACCTCTTTGTGACAGCAGTGTGTCTCTTACGTTTCATAGTTTGTAGATATCACGCAGTCAACCTTGATCTTGGCTCTAACAATCTGAAGGGAAATGCTTGTGAAGCGTTTACCACACAGGGGATATGGGTGAAAAATGTACAGGGATTTATAGAGGTAAAACATGGGTTTAGCTCATTTGCAACATTTGATATCACACCATAAACTGACACTCATCTGAGACCAAATCATCTTGTTATCAATACAGCTGTAAGTGAGATTGATAGCAGACAGTTTTTCAGTGTTTTTAAAGGGAAAATGTTTTTTCTTGAGCTGCCAGTTTGCACCAACATTCAAAAATCATAGAGGAAGCAATCTGACACAAAAGAAGATACCAGTTCAACTCAGAGTGTGTGTGTGTGTGTGTGTGTGTGTGTGTGTGTGTGTGTGTGTGTGTGTGTCGTGTGTGTGCATATACATGAATGAAATGATTTAAAAAGGCACAACCAGTCCCATCATTTACAGTTCATGGTGCCTACAATCCATTGCAAGCCAGTAAATAGAATGAGTAGGATTTATTGGTTGTGGTTTGCAAACATTGAAAGCTGGCTCCTCCTCCCTCGGCTCAACGACACCACCTTGGATGCGTGCTTACGATGTGGATCACGATGTTATTTTCTCTCCTGGATTATGGGTGTTCCTATAGTTTGTAAATATGTTAGTTCATTTGACCTTCTCTTTCTCTCCAGATCTCTGGATTAGTGTGTTCCTGTAGGTTGTAAATATATAGTTTGTTTGACTTCTGTCACTCTTCCTCCTCCAGATCTCTGGATTAGTGTGTTCCTATTAGCTTATATGTAAATAGTTTTTTTGAGTTTGTAAATATTTAACTAGTTTGTTTGATCTTCTCCCTCCCTTGTAGATTTTTTAAAAACTTTTTACTTCAAATATAGTGCTGTAGTGAGATTGTGAATATTTGGCAAATAATGATAATAATGTTCATAGTGTCTGTAAGTTTCCATCACTGTATATCAAACAGAAACGGGTTTGCACTACAGAAAATTTATTGATCAAACAGTAAGAAACAAACAAGAAATACCAACTCAACCGGTGACTAAAAGTTACTGAAACAAAGTTATTAAACTATATCCATTATGTAAAGTGCGAAAAAAAGAATGGTTGTAAAGTCTGGGACAGTTGAAAGTAGAATTCGGAACAGCTGAGGGACGCTGAGCCCTGGTGTAAGACCAAAATGGCATACGATGAAACCGTCATATTCTAAAAAAAAAAAATTTTTTTTTTTTTAAATTAAAAAAATTTAAAAAAATAAAAAAAAATTCTATTACACAATTATTAACTGCATACAACATTTGTGTAATTGTACCGGAAGAAAATGTTTAACTACACTATGTTGTAGTAGTGTTCAGCAGTCAATCACACTGCATCCATATTAGTTATCAGCAGAAAACGACACACATTTTCTACCTTGAGATTCATTTAATCTATAAAGGGAGCTATAAGTGTATTAGTATTATTACTTTATTACGATTAACATTTACAACTGAAAAGAGTAGTCGACTAATCGATTAGTCCATTTTTTACTATTTTCCTGAACATTTTATCGATAATGTAATTAACCAAGACAATAATTGGCAGATTAATCTTTAATAAAAATAATCATTAGTTGCAACTTTAATTACAGTATTGTTTTTTTCTGTGTACAACTGATTTGTTTGCTTGGCACTGTGAGAAGAGCACCATTACATGGCTGCAAATAGTTGACAAATACAAATTCAGTTGGCCCATAAATTCAGCTGATTTTCCCGTAGGTTTCACTTCTGTTGGGTTCCTCTGCAGTCCTCTATCTGCTTCATCACCAGATTCACAGCACTGTAATGTTTTTCAGTTATTCTCTCCAGGGAAAACGGCTAAGTGCACAAGTACCCCTCCTCTCTCTGTCTTGCAGGGCACGCTGACATTTACTCGATATGGCTACGTTGTTTTTCAGGGGTTTAGGTATAGTGACAACTGTGAGCTTGGACTTTTGTTGCAGTGGTGAGGGAGAGAGAGGCCAGAAATGGGGTGGGATGAGGCGAAGACAATGGGATTTAAATCAAAAACGTTGAGGCGGAAAGTGAAAGAGAAATCACATTTTCATTTTTAATCTTTTACTTTAAATCAGTCAGTAATCCAGTCCTACTGAATGTAAACCTGCAATATACTCTAAATACATAGCAAGCACACAAACATTTATTTTACCACTGTAAGCAACTTTGGAAAAGAGCACCAAATGGCATATTTTATGTCCTGTGGACACATCTGCTCTTTACTGGGAGAAACCATTGCATCTACTTTCCATCCATCCATCACGTGGGTAACACAAAGAGAAGATGGGGGAGGTAAAAACTAATATGACAGTGTCTGTTCACCAGGACTCAGATGATAGATATTTTTACAATGTGCATCTATCAAGGCTGACAAATATATTATGTGTCAGTTTTTTTATATTCAAGATCAACTCATTGGGGGCCTGTAAGGTGTCATAGAGAACAGTGTCTGTGGTCAGCTCAAATCCATGTGTCTTACACTGGATTCCTATACTGATGAGTTTTCACTGCGGGAAAAAAAGATATTAAAATATTCTAAAATAAACTTCTTATAGAGCTCTTGCAGTATAATCCACCTCTCCACTGTCGATCTTTATGTTCCAAACACTCATATTTTGGCTAAAACGTGCCGATAACTCTAATTTGGATATATACAAGGACTATTAGATCAGTGAAATATTAGTAAGTAAATACTAATAATATAATATAGGAAGTGTCCTCTGAAAACACAGTTGGAGTTCCTATTTGGTAAAAAAGGCTTTCCTAGCAGGAGCAGGACAAGGAGTTTAGATTTTCACCCAGTCCGCTGATTTTTGTGTGTGCTCTGAATTTTCGGATACCTCAAACAAAAGTGCTCAAAGCATATTGTTTACACCAGGGGCCCCATGCAGAAAGGATCCTGTCTTACCACAAAGAGTTAGTGAAATGTTATGAGATAGATAGATAGATAGATAGATAGATAGATAGATAGATAGATAGATAGATAGATAGATAGATAGATAGCTTTGAACGTTTCATTTCTGTGTTGTGTGATTTCTTGCTGAAGTTTATAAAGTTATTTTTATCCTCTGGTTTTGAGCTGTCAATGGGAGAGACAGGAGAGAGAGAGCCAGATAATTTTTACTTTCCGTCTCCCATCGTCCTTTGAAGCATCAGAGAGATTTTATTTTGAGCTGCTCTTTTGTAAAATGCTCTGATACCAAGGACAGGTGCTGCATCATTCATGAATGGCAAGGAACTGTTATTTATGGACTCAAGAGTAGTTTTTTTTTCCTGCAAGTAATTTCAACACTCAACAACGACACTAATTAAAATACCACCACCGTCACAACCACCACAACCACCACTATTACAACCACAACCACCGTCACAACCACCACAACCACCACTGCTACCAGCGACTGTCTCATAGCTTCCCACCACTGTGAATTGTGAATCAGAATTTATTTCGGTGAATCTGTTTGGCAAAATAAGGGTTAAAAGGTGTCAGATGAGGTGTGTGAAGTCAGCCAGAGTTTAATTATGAAGTGTGAAATGTCTTTTACTTGTGTTGATGTGTTTGATGGTTACAGAGGACAAGAACACAAAAGCAACAATGGCACCTGTCCCCACTGCCTTTCTCACTGTCCTTTGCATATATGAGTGTGTGTATGTACAGTAAATGTGTAAATGTCTTTAAATACATGTGCATGTGTGTATTGCGTCAATTCACGCAGACAAATCCTTCATTTGTGTGTGTTGCAGGGTGTTGGGCGCAATGGCTAATGCCTCCCCAGACCTGGACAACGCGGAAGCCCAGCGCCAGCTCAACAACAACAACCGTCCAATCGGCTCTGGGTTCTGGGAGACGGAGTGTACCAGCTCCAAGCTGTTCGAGTGCTCCCGCATCAAGGCCCTGGCAGGTCAGAGGTCACACACAGATCTGCACACATGCCTACTCACACCCATACAGACACACACACACACACACACACACACTACAAACACACACACACACAAAACACTACAAACACACCCGCATCAGCAAGGGTATAAATACACCTACATCAAAGACGTGGTGTCGATTCTTGCTGTTTTGAATTTTAGTATTAGAAATGTTCTTCTTATGAACAGTTTTATCATGACTAAGGTTTGCTTTTTAGATAAGTGAGTATTGATGTCAAAAAACACAAATGAACAGGGCGCCGTGGTAGCTCACCTGGTGGGGCTGGTACCAAGACTGAGTCCTTGCTGCAACAGCCATGGGTTCAACTTCGACCCCTTTTCTATCTATCTTTAGCTGTCCTATTTAAAAAGGCATAAAGCCCCCAAACATATTTTAAAAAAAAAACAAATCCTCTAACTCTAGTATTAACAGTATAAAACATTATTAGTATTAAAGTTTTGGTAAAGCCTAAAGCTAAATTGCTATTAAAATTCCTCGTCCCCCAAAACACAGAATATAGATTTCATATTTAAAAAAAGTCTCATCTGGTAAAGAATCTCTATAGTATACTATAAAGTATAATATGATTAACGCTAGTGTTAGCTGATGCTATTCAGGATAAGAATTGTATTTATATTGTTCTTCCATTTCTCTTTTGCCTTTGACGTAAAGTTATTTTATTGATTTATTCTCATCAGATGAACGAGATGCGGTGCAGAAGAAGACTTTTACCAAGTGGGTCAACTCCCATCTGTCCAGAGTGTCCTGTCGCATATCCGACCTCTACAACGACCTGAGGGATGGATACATGCTCACCAGACTGCTGGAGGTCCTCAGTGGAGAGCTGCTGGTGGGAACACACACGCACACAATGGCACATTATAACAGGCTTTGGATGGATTTTGTAGTCTCTCTTGATGTATCCGTTATAGGATGTGAAGTGTTAAAGGTGCTGTATGCAGCCTCTCTAACATCAGTAGATTATTATATACTATTAGACGTGTTATTTAGCTAACTCACTAAACAGATATTTATTTATTTGTGCAAGTATTTTAACATTAGCCATTGCTTCACCGGAAAGATTCGTATTTTACTCTTATCTTGTGATTTTTTGTGATTCTTTTCTTAGGAAATCATTTCTGTGGAGCACAGTTTTCTGCAGTAATGTACAAAGTGGAATTGGATGTACTGTTTGTCCATTTGTTTTCTTCTTTGCTTCACTCAGGATAAATGTGGGAAACTAAACCTTCCATTGTTTTGTTTCTAAAGATTGTCAAAGCTAGTCCTATTTTTAAATTTATATCAAATCCAAACTGTTGGCTGCAAATGTTTTAGCAAAAGTTATCTTTTATATTATATTTCTATATGTTAATGCTAAATGATGCTGCATTTAGTGCTGTTTTGATATCAAATGTAGTAATTAATGTCTGTGTCTTCCCCAAGCCGAGGCCTACACGGGGTCGAATGCGGATCCACTGCCTGGAGAACGTTGACAAGGCCCTCCAGTTCCTTAAAGAACAGAGGGTTCACCTGGAAAATGTTGGTTCCCATGACATTGTGGATGGAAATCACCGCCTCACGCTGGGCCTTATGTGGACCATCATCCTACGCTTCCAGGTAAACACTTTGGTATTGTTAATATTATTGGATTGTACATTTTATCACAGTTCAGCGATGTAGTTGCCAGGCTTGGGAAAGTATTACCTCTGGCCAAGAGTTAACGGTTTTTTGCCATTGAGCAAGTGGTAGACATGACTTTTGTTGTCAGTTTTCAGTATTGACGTTGAGGAAACTCTGTTTTTAGTAATTGTTATAATAATTAATGGTCCTGGTTGAAGTGCAGTTTAATACTGGAGTAAACAATTCTTGAGAAGCTACTTTGTCAGAAATACAACACAGGAGCAGCTGGCGTATCTGTGTACAGTGCAACCAAACAAACTCGTGTTGTCGTAGTCAGTCAAAAATAATCGCTACTGAAATCTGATTTCATACTGCAAACGACACAAGCAGTTTTTCACAAAACAGCAGGACACAGTAAAGTCGGAGTCTGATCTGTGCAGCCTCTTTATCTAACACTCTCTGTGGTTGGTCGTTGTTGCATTGCTTCCTGTAACATTTAAAACTGACTGACTGATTGAGTTTCTTGTGACTGCTTCACATTAAAAGCCACCCCATGTTTTGCCAGTTGAACACTTAATATAAAGCAGTTAGCAGAAAGAAATGTTCAGTATGCATCAGCAGTAAGGACCAGGAGAGGGAAATCTGGATTACATGCTATATTGCTTCCTGTGAGTCCCTCGTGTGTGTAAAGGCAATTTGAAAAAAGTGTTAGTTAGTCACAGAATATAAATACATGAATGTTTTTGATAAAATGTCGACCATAGGTAGTATCAAAAATGGGGTTTGATTTCATGAAATGGTAGCGGTCTGATATCAGCAGTATCACATGAGTGTTTTTAGCCAATGCAGGTACACTAGACAAAAAGCTAAATTATTGACTGACTTTCAAATATTTGATTCCTCCCGTGGGATAACACGGCTTAAATATGAGCTTCTCTGTGAGTGCGCTGAGATGCTGGCACATCTTCTCATGCTCCTTACTGAAGCACAAGGATGCTGTAATCAGCAGTGGTTTCATTTAAGATGAGGCTGTCACAGCTGCTGCATCATCAGTGTGCGACAGCGACAGCAGTGTTTGGTGGATAAAGCCTGAATGTCACTCAGGGCTCAGCGGCCTAGAGGTAGCAGTCGCCTTCCAGTCTGCTCTTCAACAAGGACACACACACACACACACACACACACACACACTGCACTCACTGGCTTACATACACACTCCATCAGTCCATCTATATAGTCACACACATGCACCTATATACTCAGATCCTGACATGCACATACTACTACAAAAATTCTCTCACACACACACACACACACACACATATACACACACACACACACACACACACACACACACACACACACACACAAGGTTTCCAGGCATTAGCAGCAGTGATACAGGATCAGTTCCTGCCATGTAAGTACAGCAGAAGCCCACGGCTCCTCTTTATTACGCTTCAGTGCTACAGCGTGGCTTTGGCACAAAATGCTTGTTTAGCATTATTCAGACCCTTCTGTAAAATTCACGGTGCACAGTTGCATAGTAGCTGTCTCCTGGGACTCAGTATTGTCATGCTAGGCTTGGCTCCCTACCACAAAGCACATTTAACAGACATTGTAGTGTGTGGAGCGACCCTCTGCAAGCCAGGCTCGTGAGGAAAAGGGAGTGGATGTTCTGAGTGTGCAATATGGCTGACTCGGCTGAATGAGGAATGAATATGTTGAAAACTAGTTAATGATGTGCATTATTGGCATGTGTTGAGTTTGTGGTCCTAAGTCTATGCAAGGTGAAATCTCTTCATTAGGTCACACCTTGCATAGACCCAAAATAGTATTGTACCAAAGAATGTTAAAGGCAGGTTTAGGTTAGGTACTGAGTGAAGTAGACACAGTTTAGATTTAGAGTGAGTAGTGCTGTAGTACAGAAATTCTTCAGAAAGTTATGGGCTTGGTAGCATGTCTAATAGTTAATTAAGTAAAGCCTGTTTTGTTTTTTGTTGTGTTTTGAGTAAGCAGCTGTAACTATACAGTTTAGACCACAGTAGTGTTAGCTGACTACTTCTTTTACCACCATTTACTGTGAGCTTGGCTGTCGTCCCACTCACCAGCCACCAAGAGCCACCAGTCGATGGCCTCTTCAATTTTGCATGTGCTGTGTGTGTGTGTGTGTGTTTGTGTGTGTGTGTGTGTGTGTGTGTGTGTGTGTGTGTGTGTGTGTGTGAGAAAGAGACACTAATTATGAAAGAAGTGAGGATGGGGGAAATGATGGTTGGCTAATGGGAAACAACAAGCAGTGATGTGGTAAATAAGCAATGGGCGGGGCCTAACTGTGACCTTCAGTCATTGTTCACCATCAGTGACGTGTGCTCAGTCAAGTTTCTGATCATAAACAGAGGTTAAAACAAGGTCAAAATAAAAATCACTTTTTCCTGCTGTCCTTATGATTTGTCTGCGGTCACAAGCTGCCGTTATACTCCTTTAGGCTACCGCCATTCCTGCTGTTACCTGAAGAACACCTGCTCTATTTAGCATTATTTGAACAGGCAGTTAATGTGAAAAAAAAAAACCATCAAATTTAGATTTATTAATCATATTTATTTTGGTGATGTTTCAAACTAGCAGTGGTAAACATATTTGTATATGCAGCCAATGTGAAGGAAGTGTAATAAAGGCATGAATTAAACATGAAACCAAAACCACAGTAGTTTTTATCCTGTTTAAATAGGAGATGTTTCCTTCTGTCTCACAGTAAACAACAGTGCACAGAACATGTTATGTTTGCTAGTGATCCAGGCAAGGATTTTTGCCATTTTTTGGTCCATAATTATGAAAGGAACAGAGGCTGAGGCTTGATTTTCAATTGAAAGACGGGTTTATTAGGTCGATAACTTTATTTAACCAAAGATTTAAGTGCTCAGACTCAGCAGGATGGAGTATTGTCCAGGCTTGGATGAGATTTATGTTGTCAGAGTTATCTTTCCCTCTTGCATGTTGTCTCTCTCCATCTCCACCTCTTTCCCCCTTTCCTCTCTGGTGAAAGTGAGAGTTTGCTTTGTCCAGTCAGCAGGTAGGGCCAAACCACTGCAGTAGCTGCACACAGGCAGAAAGAGGGAGCGAGACAGAGGGAGAGGGAGAGAGAAAGAGAGAGGGAGAGGGAGAGAGAGAGAGAGGGGAAAGAAGGGAGAGGATTGACAGAAAGAGGAAGAGGTAATCCATATGTATTTACAGAACCATACGCAAATAATAACAGACTGTTATTATTTGCAGTGTCTTCAGTTATTGTGTTGTATATGGTTGGCTGAGTGTCCTTGTGTTGTGTTCAGTGTGTTCGTTTGCTTACCTAACATAGTGCCAGCTCACTTGCTGTTTACAACGAGTCTGAATCGAGACACATTGATGTAGCTTCACTGCAGGTTTGACAAAAAATATCGATTCAGGTTTTTACTGAATGTACAATATCGCACTCTTGTGGCATGGTTAAGATGTAGATTGTGTATTCAGTATCGATGAGGTGTTTAATATTTGATGCATTTCCTGTGGGTTTATCTGGCACACTCTCTTTAGCTTTACAATGTTGTCTGTTTTTTACTCTTTTTTTGTTTGACAGCAGAGAAAGAACAGTTGAGTTAGCGCAGACACACCAGATCAGATCTTTACAGTAGTTCATGTGCTGTTTATATATCAGTCATGATGCCGTTGCTGCTGAAATAACATCCAGTGTGATATTCTCTCTGGATAAAGAGACAGTAATTTTAGTGAAGTCCCATTTGTGCGTTTGTGTTCATGCATAAGCGTTGTGTTAGTGTGTGTGTGTTTATTTGCAAGACTGTGTGTGTGTGCGCGCTATTGTGCCTAACAACATTGGTAGCAGCTGATTCCAGGGTGTCACGTCCCCAATTACCTTGGATCATGTCACTATGATGTGATTGGTTGAATGGCTGTCACTGTCACCTATCATCAGGCGTTGTGATGGCTCTGCTCTTCCCTGCACTGAGATCCTCAGTTCTCATTGCATCGTGGTGAGGGTTCGGGAATACCGTCGGGGCAATGTGACTCTGACCTTTGCTCTAGACTGGTTCCAGACCTCTGAGTTGCTGCCTAGATCTCAGCTTTTCACAGGTGGTTCAAATAGGGCTGGTGTTGCTGTCATGACTGTCTCCTCGGTTGGAGGAAGCCAGTCAGAGCCTTTGTGGACGGGACTGAAGTTTAACACTTTGATCAATTATGCTGCATAATTATAGCCAATTAATTATAGCCATATAATGAATACAAATGATCTGACTCAGGATGGGAGCTTGACTACGGGTAGCTAATAAGTAAGCTCACTTTGCTAACTCGCTTGCAAATGTCAGCCCCTGTCAGTCAGTCTGTGTCCACAATCACTGCTTCATTCACTCATTCACTGCTCCCTATAGACTCTAGATCACTCTGCAGTCAGATATAAATTGAAACACATTGCATTGTGGGATTGTAGTGTTCATGGACACTTCGTTTTAAGGTCTCTATATAGTGCTTAAATTCACATGAAAAAGTTTGACACTCTCATAAAATGGCTGACAGTCAGTATAGTGTACTACACAGTCAATAGGAACACTGTTAAACATTAGTATATATATAGTCTTAAGTAAGGGGCAGGTAAATGCCTAAAATGTGAATGTATGTTCCCAAAAACAATGCAGTGCTTAAAACTTTATATCTGTTCTGTGAGAAGGTGTAGGGTCTGTTCCACAATGTCTCTCCTACAAACACTGAACTGTTGCTCTGCTGTGTTCTTGTTCAGATCCAGGTGATCAAAATAGAGACAGAGGACAACAGAGAAACCCGTTCTGCCAAGGATGCCCTGCTGCTCTGGTGCCAGATGAAGACCGCAGGGTGAGCCGTGAAATGAAAATACAGGAAACAGTGAATTTAAAGATGATTTAAAGTTGGTATGTTCGGGTTAATACCTTGGTGCTCCTTGGTTTAGATTAAAAGTTACTAAATATCTGTCCATGCTCCAGGTACTCTGAGGTCAACATCCAGAATTTTACCACCTGCTGGAGAGACGGCCTCGCCTTCAACGCCCTCATACACAGACACAGGTAGGTAGTGTCTTTCACACAGTATACTACCATGATTACAATTGGAAAGTTGTATATGATGACAACAGCACATATAAAATAGTGGGAATGTTTTGTTTGTATAAGTATTTTTTTCAGTTTGAATTGTATTTTGGTGTAAAAACATGACCAAAAACAATTGCAACAACAAAAACAAAATACATACACAGGCATTTCGCTAAACTCACAAAGATCGAGTTTGACTGACGTTCAGTTTTAGGATTAGAGCCATACAAACATGACATGTCATGAACTTGTGCCCTGCAGACCTGACCTAATAGAGTTCCACAAGTTGACGCGGTCCAATGCAACCCACAACCTCCAGCAAGCCTTCAACATCGCTGAGCAGCACCTGGGCCTGACCAAACTCCTTGACCCTGAAGGTGAGAAGGTTTTACTGGTTTTGAGTTGATGCCAGTCATGCAGCAATATCCATAATAGTGTCATTAAAGTGGCTGTGGAGCTCCACCCAAAGTCAGGCAGATGAATGACGTGTGTGCTCCCTCCGGTGCAGATGTGAACACAGAGAACCCAGACGAAAAGTCCATCATCACCTATGTGGTCTCCTACTACCACTACTTCTCCAAGATGAAGGCTCTTATTGTGGAGGGCAAGAGGGTTGGAAAGGTAACACGAGAACACACATAGACACTAAAACACAAGTAACAATTCATCAAAATGTGTATCCATCATGTCCGCTTTCTGCTTTTTTCTCTATCCCATTCTTCCTCTCCGAATCTGCTCCCAACCTCTTCCCGTCTGTCTCACTCAGGTACTGGACAATTGTATTGAGGCAGAGAAGATCATCAACCGCTATGAGGCTCTGGCGTCAGACTTGTTGGACTGGATAGAAAAGACCATCGCGGTCATCAGTAACCAGAAGTTTGCCAACTCGTTGACCGGAGTTCAGCAGCAGCTACAGGCCTTCACAACCTACTGCACCATAGAGAAGCCCATCAAGTACGTTTTGTGAATTTTTAAAATGGTATCTTGACATTTTAGTTGCATTTTTTGAATCATTTTAGCACACACAAACATATGTATGCCCACTCATGCATACAAATAGGAATTCATGCATATGCTGAATGATAATGGTTCAAGAAGCTGCGATTGTAGCTGCAAACAGACGCTGCTGCTGCTTTGATGTTGCATTTCATTATGTTAGGTAGTGCTGAAACATTAGTCAATTAATCGTGAGTCCGATACATAGAACATTTATCTAGTACAACAATAATAAAGGAATCATTTCTAGCTTCTCAAATGCTGCTTTTCTCAATGATTTGATTAACGAAAAAACCCACCGAACCAATCTACAAGTATATTAATCCATAATGAAAATAATCATCATTTTTAGTCCTTATGTTACGTTGTTTTAATAATTTAACAACAATATAAGTATGTGAAAACTGGCCTTTATAGTGACATTGATGGAAAATACTCACAAAAACATATTTGAAAGCTATTAACATTCAAAATAATATGTTTATGATTTTATCTTTACTTTCTGTCCTGCCCACAGAATAGGATTGCTGTGTATATGTGCAGCTGACAACAGTGCATTAATCTGACTTTGAGTGTCTTACAGTAGGTTAGCATTAGCTGAGAGGGATACATATGTAGCTACAACATCCAGTATGTGTCAGGTGAAACAATTATCAATGAAACTAACTATTAGGAGTGAAAGGAGGAAGTTGAAGTTGTCTTGCTGTTTGTGCATCCAAACATGCGTTAAACGTGTTGGAATAACGAGCCACTGAGCCTTGAGGTCTTTTGTCCAGCATCATCAGGATCAGCATTACCATCAGCCCCAGTACTAAACTCAAGGCCCCACAGGCACTGGGAGTACACTGACAACAATGATAAATTCTCAGGTTCCAGCCTCTCCAATGTGAGGATGAGCAGTTTTTCTTTGTCATATATGATAAAAACCTGAATGTCTTAGGGGTTTGGACTGTTGGTCAGGCAGAACAAGACATTTTGCAGACATCTCCTTGGACTTTGGGAAATTATAATACTTTATCACTATTTACTGACACCTTATAGACATAACAGTTGATTAATTGATAATTGATAAAAAATAAATAATAAAAATAATTTCTCCAGCCATAGAGGAAATGCTTCTCTGGATAAATAAATTTCCCTCAGAAACTCACACACGAGCCCATGTACACACTTGGAATTCAAATCACATATTTGACACCATAAAACAAGGTCTTAAATGTTTTTATATAAAAGAAAATTATTATTTTTTAGCCGGGGCTCTGCACAGAAAATGCCACCATATTGGTTCACAGCAGTAATAAACCACCATGTGTTCATACAGTAGACTCCCCCCAGAGTGATGAATGGCCATGACAGTGGACAGCAGGGTGGCAGAGTGATCAGAGAAATCGCCCTTTACCGGGAGTCCTCAGACCTCCCCGTCAGCAAGCATTCATGCTGCGAGTGTCCTTGAGGAAGATGCTGAAAGCCTCACCAACGTCTATCTGCAGCCTGAGTGTTTTCTTTGACCCTGTCTTTTTTAAGTTTTTCTTTGAACATACTTGGAAGTACTTTCAGTGTGTCCCACACTGGCAGGGACTGTTGAAATAGAAGAGGCCACATTGTGGAACAGGATCACTAACAAAAGCTTTCTGTTTCTCGCTCAGGTTTCAGGAGAAGGGGAATCTTGAGGTCCTTCTCTTCACAATCCAAAGCAAACTCAGAGCCAACAACCAGAAACCCTATGTGCCTCATGATGGGAAGCTCATCTCAGACATCAACAAGGTCACACATCCATCAGTATTTCACCTTTTACTAAACAATTAAGTGGCAACTGATATGAGCAAATTATTCATTCAGTAAAATGTCACCATCGCTCTTCCACACTTTCACCTCACATTGACCCCTGGCTGTTATATAATTTGTTATATTACTAACTATTCTCTTTGTCCTTTTCCTTCCAGGCCTGGGAGAGGCTGGAGAAGGCGGAACACGAGAGGGGCGTGGCTCTGCGTAAGGAGCTGATTCGTCAGGAGAAGCTGGAGCTGCTGGCTCAGCGCTTTGACCACAAAACCACCATGAGACAAGCCTGGCTCAATGAGAACCAGAGACTTGTATCACAGGTAAGGATCTCGTGGAGGGGGGGCAGGATACATCATGGTCAGTGTGGGAAGGTATTCCCCCTACTTTAACTCATCTAACCATATGCAGCTGCAATATAAACATGCTTCTTACAGTGAAGACATAATTGCAAATAAGCCAGGGGGTACCTCTTTTGACTGTGTGGAAGAAAAAGATGGCATACACATTTTTGTTTTAGTTAGGAACTACTTCAGTTTTGCTTATTGTCCCTTCATTTGGATGTTTGACCTTCACTGTGCAGAATGATGCACTAGAAGGCGGTTAGCACATTTATCTGTTGAAGGGAGAAAGTTTCTCATGTGCTCACCTGCAACTTACACGTGTGATGTGGAAGATTTAATCCTGTACAACTATATTGAGAATGGAGAATGGTAGGTTTTTACAGTGTCTCCTCATAGATCTCCTCTGTGAGTAGCCCCAAATTCCTCTCAGCTTCGATCCACTCACCTGTATTTGTGTCATGCCTTGTGCCTAAGTGTCTGAAGTAGTGGTCGACGGATATGGGATTTTCAATGGCAGATGCAGATATTTAGAGATATCAAAACCAAGACAATCAATGTACAGTTCTATTCTGTTCTGTAGGAAAAACAGGTATATGTTTACAGCCGGATGCTTGAAAGTCATAGTACTTTGGTTGTCATATTTTTTTCACTGGTTAATCTTTATTATATATATTATATATTAGTTTTCTTTCACTCCTACCCCCTTTGTCTCCCCACTTTCTTTGCCTCGGCTGCACACCTGAAATCACAAACACCTTTTTTACTTCTCTCTGCCTACAGGACAATTTTGGCTATGACCTGCCAGCAGTCGAGGCGGCAATGAAGAAACACGAGGCCATTGAGGCGGACATAGCCTCATATGAAGAGCGAATTGGCGTGGTGGTGGAGCTCGCCGCAGAGATGGAGGCAGAAGGATACTACGACATCCGGCGTATCTCAGCACGGAAGGAGAACATCCTGGGCCAGTGGAGTCTGCTGAAGGAGCTGGTGGCTGGGAGGAGGACCCGGCTGGAGAAGAACCTGGCCCTGCAGAAGACTTTTCAGGACATGGTCTACATGATCGACTGGATGGAGGACACACAGGTACTAGAGGCTGTGTGAGGGAGAGAATGAGAATGACACTTCACCTGTATATTCAGTAGTTAAATAAAGACTAAATAAGACTATTAAAGAGTGAAGATGGAGAAAGAGGGCAGGGTACGTAATTTGAAGAGTTAGAAAGATATAAAGTTATCCTGATGTACAACGGCATCACAAATGTCCTCTGTCATCCCTCCGCCTCTCTCGTCTTCCCCTCCCTCCATCTCCTGCTCTCTCTCAGGTCCAGCTGCTGTCGAAGGACTTCGGGAAGCATCTTCTGGAGGTGGACGACCTGCTGCAGAAACACAGCCTGCAGGAAGCCGACATTACAGTGCAGGCTGAGAGGGTCGAGACACTCAACACCGCTGCACTCAAATTCACCACTATAGAGGGTATAGACACACACACGGATCTTGTTTATTATCTATAGCACTAGTGACGCATTTCATGTTATCTGTCTTTAACTTTACTGGTTTGAATCACCTTAAAGGAATAATCTTTGGTGCATGAAAATTTGCATTATACGCTGAGATTTCCATTTTGCAAAGTTTGCCATAAATATACAGTCATTTGACTACAAGATGCAGAATACTAATGAACTCAAGGCCATTAAGCACAACATTTAGAAAACAGTTATTAGATTTGACACCTATTTTGATACAAATATTAAATGTAACCTTTGTAAAAGCTCATAATGCTCAATTTCTGTTGAGACTGTGTCTGAGAGTGACTGAACTCATTCTTTGTTGGTTTGGTTTAAATCGTACTGTACGGTGTCCAGAATAATATTGGGACATATGAGTAAAATATAAGAGTCATTAGATTGTAATAAGGAGGCAACAAATGTCTCTGAACTTTTCAACACTTTTCTGCAGTACTTTTCTATTATTTGTCATAGACTAAATGAAACAAGGAGGAAGCAATGATCCAATGATATTGATTTCATTTAGTTAAGTGAAGATGTATTTGACCTTGAGACAAGTGGAACATTGATTTTTGGAACTTGATATCAGTAAGGTGATCTCAGTACACTGTGCATGGTTTTTATTTATTGTTTTCAAGGTAGTCCAGCTCAGAGTACACTGAATGAAGTGCTGTATTTTTTCACGTTATTAACCTCATTTTGTTGTCTCCCAGGTTACCAACCGTGTGACCCGCAGGTTATCTGTAACCGTGTCAATCATGTCTCGTCCTGTCTGGAGGAGCTGAAACAACTGGCAGCTAAAAGACGCACTGAGCTTGAGGAGTCGAGACAGCTATGGGCCTTCTTTCAGGTAGGATGAGTTGAAGGCATGAGGAAAATGGTGGGATTATATCATGTTAATTATTCGTAACAAATTTGTTTCCAAAGTTAGAGCCGCGTCTTATAGTTTCTGTAACTTTCCGAACCGACAATCCGACCCACTTCATACTGGGATTGTCTAGAGTTGCGGAAGTGAGATAGTAACTTTTCTCTGGAGCACTCTTTTTTATTCTTTAGTGCACAAGTGCACCGTAATTCCTATATTTAAATGATTATTGCTCTGTATGCCTTCAAGTGTGACCAAAACTAAAGACATTTAAAGACTGTCAGTGCTTGTATTTGGATTTCCAAATAATTTAATCTCTATTTTCCCAAAGCAGCTTTAAAGACATAATTCAGGACCTCAATCTCAAGGCCCATGTGTAAATATGCATAAATGAATCCATCTATTATGCTTTTATCAACCTTTGCAACAACATGGTCAGGTCTTAAGCAGACTTTAGGTCTACCACATTCTCATACAGCTCAGTAAGCTAGCTAATTAGAGGAGAGATCTAACAGAAATGTCTGCTGAAAAGGTAATAAATCACACTGCAAAATACTTTAATAATAGTAGCAATTTGTTCTTTGCTGCTTTGCATGAGGACAAAATATTTTGCAGGGCTGGTTGCTCCACACCTGAGCAGATTATTTTGTGTTTTACAGCATATATATACTACAGTATTTATGAATAACACAGCTGTCTCTCCTGTAGGCTGGGAGAGAAGGAGGAAGAATTATCATCTGATTAGTTGCTCTCAAAAAGAAACGTCAAAGTCAAATCAAAGTGAAACTAAGCGGTCCTTTTATGGACCCACTCTCTATAGTCTATTGAAGTCCGACAGGTACAATCAGAAATGTATCAAATATCTTTCTTTGGTGCTTTGTTATAAGGCCTCATTTCGTTTCATTCGGCAGTCCATATCTATTGTCAGACTTGGCCCGTGTCTATCTCCTGAAAAAGCTGTCCGTCACTTTGATAACACGGATGTGATGAACGAGTTGTTAATGTTAGTGAATAAGCTTTTAGAATGAACAATGAAAGTAATGAGTGCATAACGAGAATAGCGTATTTCTTTGTCCAATGAGTCATTGGTCCACACTGGTGAATCACTAATTATATCACATTACTGATTCATTGGCTAATTCCCCTTCTGCCTTTTGGGAGGTTCTCAGAAACAGACTGGGATCAGTGTTGGATGGACTTGCAGGGGAGGACTGTTCTATATTTCTGAACTTTCTTTCTTAGCATCGTCTTTTCATATCCTTTTATTCTTCCAATCGTCTTTTATCTTTTCCCAGTTATTGCTTAAACTCCCTTTGTCCTCTATTTACATCAGTTTAGGGTTATGAAACCTATTTTACTTTTAATATTTTTTGTTAAAATCTAAGCATTTAAATCTTGTTTGTCTGTTTGTTCTCCTGTCAGGAGCTGGAGGAGTCGGAGGCCTGGATCAGGGAGAAGAGCTCCATCTTGGGTGCTCAGGGTTTTGGGAAGGACCTGAGCAGTGTGCTGAAGTTACTACAAAAGCACAAGACTCTGGCTGGAGAACTGCTGGCTCACCGGTCGCTGCTGCAGGTGTGTGTGCATATCTGTCTGTGTGTGTGAGAATCAGCACCTGGGATACCAACAGTACCTTGAGTTTCTGTTCTGAACTTTATGTACTTTACTGAATTTATGTCTTAGCATTTATGAAATAGTTTTTTTGAGCTCAGTTACAGACAAAACCCAACTTTACTTACTAAAATAATTTTGAATAGTTGCAAATACAGTTGTTTTTTGTTCGTTTTTTTTGAGAAAAATATATTATCTGCCTGTTGTATATAGCAGTTAGTTTCATTCATATAAAAGTATGATCTTTTTTACAGTTTGAAACAGTCATAAGGACCAAAACAAATTAAAACGTTACATATTACAGTATAATTTGATGCATTTTTATTACATTTGAAGACATGTTTATCAGAAGACGCCTCACAAATTATCTGTAGAGGATTTCAAATTTTAAAAGTAGTAATGTCCTAAAGTCTGTTAAAAGTTTTGGTTTTGTTCTTTTTTTGGTGGCCATGTTATTGACAACACGTCATTACCGAATCTCCTGCAAATGAAAGAAATCCCACACTGAGTAACACTGTTATCCCTCCATCCTGTCCCGCTCCTCCAGAACACCATGAAGCGAGGAAAGCAGATCCTGAGTGAGAAGAGCTTTGGCACGGCGGGGATCCAGGAGCACATCATGGAGGTGAAGAGCGAGTGGAAGAGGTTGGAGGACCAAGCTGCGCAGCGTCTTGGCCACCTACAGGAGGCGCTAAACTTTTTTCAGTTCTCCACGGAGACGGACGACCTGGTGGCCTGGCTGCAGGACGCTTACCGCCTGGTGTCCAGCGAAGACTTCGGGCATGATGAGTACTCCACGCAGTCCCTGCTGAAGAAACACAGAGGGGTCAGCGAGGCCATCGACAAACATCGTCTGCATGTAGTGGCACTGCGCAAACACATGGTGGCGCTGCCTCTGCGTTACCGTGATCAGGAGGTGGGTAGAGGGAGGAAGGAAAGGATCTTTAGATAGATAGATACTTTATTTATCCCGAGGGAAATTCTTTAACTTTTATGGTATAGAGTATTTCATTTGTCCTTCTACATATTTTCTTTTCTTTTACCCCTCAATGTCATTGTTTTTCCTCTTTCCTCTCCTCCCGTCTTTCTGCGTCCTCTCCTGTCTTCTCCCATCTCCTCGCTGCAGGAGGTGCAGGTGCGTATGGGAGAGGTGGAGCAGCTGTATACCGAGGTGATTGAGGTGGCGGTGCTCAGACAGCAGTGGCTTCACGATGCCCTCGCGGTCTACCGCATGTTCAGCGAGGTCAACGCCTGTGAGCTGTGGATTGATGAGAAGGAGCAGTGGCTGGACAAGATGGAGATCCCAGAGAGACTGGAGGACGTGGAGGTGGTGGCACATAGGTGAGGAAAAGGGAGAGGAGAGGCAGGGGAGGAGGTTGGGTTTCTGTGACTCCAACCGTTTTGGCCAGTGCAAAAACCTGTTAACCCGCTGACTGTCTCATCGTATCACACAATGCTCCTTATCTTCAAGGTTTGAGAGCCTGGACCAGGAGATGAACAGCCTGATGGGAAGGATCCTGGACGTTAACCAGATAGTTCAGCAGCTCCTGGATGGAGGTCATCCATCTTCTACAGAGGTCAGAGGTTGTCAAGACCACCTCAACTCCAGGTAACGGAAACAAAACTGACCTCCCAACAGCAACAACTACAACCACTACTACCACTATCACAAATGTAATAGTAGTACAACCTCTTGTACAACTACTGACATTAACTATTGCCTGAGGCACAGAAATACATTAGAATATTAATTAAAACCAGTGGAGAGAAAGATAAAAAGATTGCCCCAATTTTAATTGCAACTACTAAACTGCAACTACTAACCCCATAGAGACAGTAACATAATATGCACTAATCACACTAATACTTATACACTTAGGCTGTGTCTTTATACCCTCACTAACACGGATGTTAAGGTGATATTGGTACTGCTTGGAGCCAGTAACTAGTGATTACTGCTGCCAAAGCTTTGATAAACAAGGAACTGAACCACTTAAAGAGTAGAAAGGATCTGCTGAATTTCTGTAAATTATGTCTTACACACTAATTTCTTGAAATTAACTAAAAAGACCAGTGTGTAGGATTTAGTGGTCTCTAGTGGTGAGGTTGCAGATTGCAACCAACTGAATACCCCCCGCTTTACCCTCCCCTTCCAGTAATGTAGGAGAACATATAGTGATCACGGAAAAAGCGAAATGCCCTATGTAGACAACATTGTGGTAATGAAACCATAATACCTAGGAATATTATATTCCATTTCTGCAATATTCTGCCAACAGATCCCCCTAATTGTTACACACTGGTCCTTTAATATAAATGATATAAACCATTGCACTATTTAAAAGCCCCCTGTCTGTTAAATAGTGCAATGCTTTATTGGAACTCTGTCCTATTTACTCCCAGGAGGTGGGAGAAGAGGGAGGCGGACTGACAGGCAAAGAGAGAAGAGAGATGGCAAGGAAGAGAAATTTCGTGGGCTTGTGTAATTATTCAAGGGAATTCATACTCATACAGTTTTTTTGTAATTGTCTTTTGACAAGCGCCTCATGTCCTGTCAGTCGCCGTCTTAATAAGAGGCTGAACTCCTACCTGCTTTGTCATCTTTGTAGAGTATTATGAGTTCAGTGCCTGAGATAGTACAAAATGTAAAATAGCAGCATGAATCTCTTCTAGCTGCTGCACCAGTCTCTCTCTCTCTCTCTCTCTCTCTCTCTCTCTCTCTCTTTGGCTGACATGTTTACTTACTAACATCCGGCCAGGTCGACCCTGTGATGGGATTGGCTTTTTTAGCCGTCTCAGTCATGTTCACTGTCCACTGTTACGTCTGGCAGAGTCCATGAGGGCCGGGTGTCCATGAGTCTTATGACCTTGGCACGTGGCGTTGGTCTCAGGGTGACCATCTGTGCTGGCTGCCTCAGTTAAGACGAGGCCAGCCGAGAGCAAAAATATGATCAAACATACAAAATAAACACTTTCCTCTCCTCATCGCCTTCTCTGGTATTAGTTATTCAAATTCTGTCTCAGGTTTAGGAGCTTGACTGCATGATATCTTTGCTGTCTTTAGATGTGGACACTGCGTACAGTATTGGGGCTATTGTGTGAATTCCCTTATAACGAAACAGCAGTAATCATCAGTGGAACAAACTCATTAATCTAGTTTTAATGGAAAATTATAACTATATGTCCCATTACTTAAATATCTATAGTCAATATGTTCACAGCTCAGTCGGTTTTATCCTTCACTTTTACATTTTCTACCTTTAAAATTGATTTTTGATACAGTATCTGTGTTACCTTTCTTAAATAAAGTTATTTAACGCTCAAACAAGTATTACCAAGACTGCAAACAACAATATTTACACTTATAATAATATTTTATATGAAGGGAATAAGGGAACCACACACATTTGAACTACTGATATAAAGGGGTGCATATAGTTTAGGATGCATTCATGGTCATCCTTTACTTTATATTTGAATACATATAACAAATCATTCAGTGTGTAAACTTAGCTTGGGTATGCTAATCCATCACTGCTTCCTTGTATACATACATATATATGTTGTGTTTCATTTTGTTAAGCAGCCATCCCCTGTCACACACACATAATCAGCAATCACCACCACCATGTTGCATCTATAAGACTTTTGCAGCTCTGAGGTCAGTGTCACTGAGCTGTTTTCCTGCCCGCCTGCGGAGCGCTCTGTCTGCCTCTCATCGACACTACCATTACCTCATTACAGTCACAAGGATCTCTGTGTGTGTGCATGTGTCTGAGTGTGTGTTTCTTGGCTGAATGGGTGTGTATTGAGACCCGCTGGTCTGGAGCAGAATCAGGAGAACATATTGTATGACGATATGGTGAGCAGACGAGGCCTAGGCTGAAACTACAGCAGGGCAAACGGAAACAGTTCGTATCAGGTCATATCAGGGCATCATCATAATGAGTTTATACTAATGCAACTCTTCTCAAGATTAACACCGAAGGCAACAAATAATAAGAAAACTTGAAATATGCAAATACATAGAAAACTGCATAACAAGTCTTGAGCATTTAGCTTTTACATCTCAGTTGAATGAGCAGACAGAAACACACATTTCTCTAAAAAACAATGCATCAGCACTAGATCTAGCATTAAAAGAGGTATGACTTTTGGTTTAAATCCCATCAGCTGTGTAAGTTTTGACATATTTGTTTTGAATTACATCGGCTGCTTGACGCTCTTTTGACCGGGAGCAATGGATGGCTGGAATTAAATCCTAGCAGCCCTACAGTTTATATCTTTTCAAACCATGTATGAAGACGAATGAATGCTGCTTTAAGAACTTTGTTTCTGAATATTGCATGTGACTACAACAAATCTCTTTTGAAATTAGGGTCAATGATAGGTGTACAATTTCCCAATAGGTCACAACTGTCTTCACTATCGCACATTTCTCCTTCACAGTACCACACTCCCTCTCTTCATCCTTCTCAAACTACACTTTCAGTATCACTCTATCCTGTCTTTCACATCGTACCAGGTGGAACAGCATTGTGGAGCTGGTGGAGCAGAAGAAAGATCAGCTGGACTCGATGTTACGACTGCAGAACTACCTGCTGGAGTGTGCTGAGATCAAGTCCCAGATCCAGGACAAGAGAAAAGCCATCGACGCCACTCAGTACATGGGCAGCGACCTGGGAGGAGTCCTGGCACTGCAGAGACGCCTCTCTACCATGGAGGGAGCCCTGTCTGTCCTGGAGCCCAAACTGCTGCATCTACAGGTAGGGAATTATGGGAAAATACATATAGACTATACAGATGTTAAAGAAAGACATTATTAAACTTTTAATGCTAACTAACTGTACATTTTTCTATTCATCAGTTTTTTCCCCTTCTATTTATTACAAACACACCACTGTTGGTGCTACAGGAAATTCACCAGTAATGGTAATAGATAATAGCAATGGCATTTGTTCCTATAAATACATAACAAATGAGAGAAACCTCAAAAGATACACATTTGTGGAGGTGAAGAAGAGTTTATAAGCAGGTTGTATTATGCAGCATAAAAGGCTACAGTCACCATAACGGCGTCTGTTGTTTGGTGATGTAGGAAGAGGCCGAGCATCTAGCAACCGTCCACCAAGGTCGAACCATGGAGGTTCTTGTGCCGTTTGATGGCATCAGTCTGGAGTGGGAGGAGCTGAAACGCACCCTGCAGGGCTGTGAGGACTCGCTGATGGTGGCCAGCAGGCTGCAGAGCTTCATACAGGTACACTGGGATAGTCCATACATCAGGGAGAAATACTACTGCTGATAATCGATAGAGACTGACTCTGCATTTTACTCCACCACAGTTATATTGGTCCGTACACAAACCAACACACTCTTTAACACAAGTTCACCAAAACTGTAAACCACAACAACAAACACTGAGAAAATCATAGTGGATAAATTGGTTGTTTTAAGAAGTAAATTTTACTGGAAAAACCAGTATCTGCTGCAAGTTAAGCAGTAGCATCTTGACACTGGTAATGTGGAAATCACATGATCTGCCTGTAATTTTTTATATTTGTCAGTCTGCACAAACTTCTGTAGTGTAGACCAACAATGGAGTTGATTCAATTCAAATCATATTCTTCCCCGCTTCCTGTCAGGACCTGGACTCGTTCCTCACCTGGTTGGTCCAGACGCAGACGGCGGCCGCCTCAGACCAGCTGCCCAATGACCTGGAGGAGGCAGAGAGACTCATCAACAAACATGCTGCCCTAAAGGAGGAGATCGGACGGTGAGTTATCAAAGGACAACAAAAGGATTATCTTGTTTTTAGCATGATCTTATCTTGATTAGGTCTTAAAAACACATCAGGCGTTCAGAGAATAACTGAATGGGTCGCTGCTGTTTTCTATGCAGATATGAAGAAGACTACGAGCGCTTGCAGGCCATGAATGAGCTGCTGGAGTCCGAGGAGGCTCCGCTCCCTCAGGCAGCCCTGCAGCAGTGGCTCCAGAAGCTCGATGTCGGCTGGAACAAACTGCTGGAGATGTGGGAGAGCAGGAGAGAGGTTCTGGTCCAGGCTCACATTTTCCATCTGTTCCTGCGAGATGTCAAACAGGCCGAGTCCTTCCTCAACAACCAGGTGAGACCAGCGAAGACTGAGCAGGTGGTTGCGGCTTACAAGCAGCGTCTTTTGGAAGTTGTTTCAGCTATCTTAGTGCTGTTGCTTTAGGATGGCAGTGTCAGTTGGTCTGTCAGTCCAAAACTTTAAACAAATTTAATATCTCAGTCAGTCTATCTATACCCAATGTGCACATTAGCAAAGCCTCTTTTTTTACAGCCCTGTTGCATCACCGAAATCTACTTAACTTGAATAACTCCTCTAAAGAGTTTTTTGCAGCGTTGGAGAAGTTGTTACACGTGACAGCGAGATTAAAAACAGCTGCTGTGTGCAACATGTATCATGTACTTTTATGTTGCTGTTGTTTTTTTCTTTTTTTGGTTGGTTTTGGATTAGACATAAAACACGTGTGTGTACTGTACGTACATAATAATAAAGCAAAGTGAGGGGCAGATACTGAGTTACAGAGTTGATGAGACCCCTCTTGTCTATATTGACCTTCATCAAAGACCTTGTCCCATAGCTGGTTCGTATGATGATGACGGTGATAACAGCGGTTAAATCACCTAAACATCCTGGTGTCTTCACGAACACCTCTGAACTGGCCAAATGTTGCTTTCTGACTGCAGTACAGTGGATGACTGGACTGGGTGTGGTCAGCTTAGCCCTGCCAAAGTCAGTACAGAGATAGAGAGAGCAGAAAACAGAGAGAAAAGAAGAGAGGGAGTGTGTGTGTGTGTGTGTGTGTGTGTGTGTGTGTGTGTGTGTGTGTCAGCAGGTGTCTTTTTGCAGAGTGTCCCTGTGTTATATGATATTAGCGCAGGAGATGTCGAGGCAGCAGCATCCAGTAACTCTAGATCTAAATTGTGGAGGAGGATTGGCAGCCTCCCGATGCTAAAGTCTGTGTGTGTGTGTGTGTGTGTGTGTGTGTGTGTGTGTGTGTGTGTGTGTGTGTGTGTGTGTGTGTGTGCGTGCGTGTGTGTTGACAATATACAGTTTGATGGTATTTATAGGATTGTGTAAATGATACTTGCTTCTTATTGGCTACATTCTGTGACTCTTAAGTTACTGTGTTGGTTTCATCATACCTTGGATACAAACAATGCAGCAGTATCATGAATGAAGTGGGATTATATTCCATTAGCAAAATATGATGTTGCAATTCTTTTAACAAACATTGTAGTGGCATGAATAATTAGCATTATAATTTAAGTACTATCCCATCTCATTTTCACGTTATGAATATTGGCTGGGCCGTTTAAGAAATGATCGGCACAGACAGAAATTCTTGTGGAAACCAGTTTAAGTCTTCATTACCTTTTAAAGCAGATTTAGACTTTGTCAGTACTTTTAGCTTTGATACATTATAAAATAAAGGAGATAATCATCATTCAAATTAACTGCTCCTGTAAAGCACTCTTTGGAATATAATTATCAGCTTTCATATTAATTGAGTAGAGCAGAGTCAACTTTATGGTCTCTGAGGGGAAATTTGTCTTATATATTGCCATATAAATATGATTTCAGCACATTTCCAGCTCCACGGGTCAGACCCCGGGTCTTGCCGTCTGCATTGCTGTATTTAATCTCAGCATTGCATGTACAGAGGTTTGTTTTTCTAATCTGAAATGTCACAGGCAGAGCTGCCCTTGACTCCTTTGTGTGTGCGTTTGTGTGTTGGTCCTTTTAGTTTGATAAAAGATCTTTACGAGGGACCAGCTCTCCTTATCAGCCTGGGGGGTGGGTTGGTTTAGAGAGAGCAGCATTTCTTCTTCAATAAGTATCAAAGATGTTCCGGGCCATAGATCTCTGTCTGCCTCTCCCTGTTGTTTCTCCCTCAATTTAATTATTTTTCTCTGTATCCAGAGGCTATATGCATTTGTAATTATATGGTTTGTTTGAGTAGTTTTGTTTTAAGCCATCTTGTAAAATTTTTTATCAGGAATAGTTCTGCTACATTCACACAAAAGGGCAAATCTAATCCATTAATCATTTGTTAAATGACAGAGAATTGTGAAAGAAATCCAAGTTAATGTCTTCAGATTATTAGTTTTATCTGATTAATAAAAATATGCAGTTTACTATCAAATAAGACAAAGAAAAACAGAAATCCACACGTTTGAGAGGCTGAAACTAAGATTTTTTTGGCCTTTTGGCTTGAAAAATTACTTACCGATTAATGGATTATCAAAATAGTCAATCATTTTTCTTTCTGTTGGTTGGTTTGACAACTAGAAGTGACAATGTTAAGTAAAATTGGTTGTCACTCATATGATTCTTCGTCATATGGTTCAGTGATTTATAAATAAACTAATATCAGACCTAAATTTCAACACTCGCTCCTATCTATCCTGCGCTCCTCTGATGTCCTTCTGTTTGTGCTCTTCACCTTTTTCTTTTTTAATCTCCTTCGCTTAATTAGTTCCTAAACCAAGAAATCACCTCTCTGTACCCCGTGTTCCTTCTCTAGGAGTCGGCCCTCGCTCACGTGGAGCTGCCCACCACGGTGGAAACGGTCGAAGCCGCCATAAAGAAACACAAGGACTTCACCACCACCATGGAGCTGAACCTGCACAGGATCAAAGCTGTCATTGAGGCTGGAGAGAGTCTGATCAGCCAGAGTAACATCTACTCTGAACGCATCAGGGAACGCATCGACACCCTCGCCAACAGGTACACATACACAGATAAAAACAGAAGCTATATGAAGAGTGATAAAGGAAATTACTTGGGTTAAAGCACAGACTAACTTGAAGCCAAATATCTGAATATCTTCTATCTATAATGTCAGTATTTAGCAGTTTTTTGTAATCTAACCTATCTATTCTCATATTGACAATTCAGTCTCCTCCCTTTCTTATAGAAGACATTCACAAAGCGTGAGCATTAAGGCATTAAAAAATATGACAAAAACATGCTTTTTAATGGGAATTTATTTGTCATTAAGTTGAAGCACAATTCAGCTACTAAAACATATACAGTTTGAGAATATTCGAGAGAAGCCTTCTGTATACAGTCATGGATTATCTTACTCAATGAAACTTGTTTTCATTCTCTATGAAAAGGAGCAGTAGGTTTTGTCTGTAGGATGAATACGTTTAAGTCCTCTGACTGTATTTTCTAAGATCCAAGCAGCTGGTCAAACACAATACAACAATAAAATAAAAAAAAGAATAATAGCAGCTAAAGAATTGGAAGCAGAGGGACCCCCAAATATAAATGAAACAAAACCCAGAAAACAGAGCTCGGGTCTGTTTAGTCCAGAACTCACACATGACCATGAAATCTGTGTGATAGCTGAGGTGGTGTGTGTGTGTGTGTTTGTGTGTGTGTGTGTGTGTGTGTGTGTGTGTGTGTGTGTGTGTGTGTGTGTGGGAGGGGGTTGGGGTATATGTGTCCAACAATAGTGTTGTATAGAAGCATATGGTTTTTAGATTTAATTTACATGAATTAACTCATTGGACATTTATTTATACTCCCATGAGGACAAATAAATGAGCACAGTGCAACATAATTATTCTAACGTGTTACTTTCTGGTTATACAATAAATCATTTAACAATTATTACATTGAATAAGGTAAAACTCTAATCAAATTAAATTATATTTGAATAAAATGAATGAAATCCTCCATCACTAAGCTTCTAAAATGCTCGTATGTGAGTTTTTGTGAAGTGTAAAGACAAACAGGGAAATTAAACCGCTTGCGTTCACTCTTTCAGGGGAAACCAGAACCGAGAGCTGGCCCAGCAGTGGTTGGAAAAACTGAACGACCAGTGGGAACTTCAGAGGTTTCTGCAGGACTGTCATGAGGTAGGAACCCAACAGACTGGTTGTGCTGGTTGAACTCTGAATTACATCGGTTAAAGAGAAAACTAAGGGGGGGCTTTGTTCCTTTTTGTTACATAGCCAACGTCACATTTTGGCGGCCTCCAGTGGCAGAGCGAGAGAGCTGTTTTCATTATTTAGAACTTCATTACCCAGAAGTCATTGCTGCTGCATTACTAAAGTTTGACCTAACTTTCACTCCTTTGCCTTCATAGTGGCTGATGAGAGTAAAATAAGTTTTTCACTGTAGATTCAGCTGTTGTGGAGTTTTGTCTGGACAGAGTGAAAGCTGCTGCTGTATTTTAAAAGCTTCAATCACTTTTGCCTCTTCATGTGTAAGATTTCTTGGTAATGGCCATCCTCAATATGTTAAATCAATGTGGGAAGATAATCTAAATATATGGGGTTTAAATTATCAGTCTCAAGTCAAGATCATTTTAAATTGAAATGGAAATGGGAACATTCTTATTATTACCAGTGTAGTAATGACATGTTCCACTAAGTTCCACCTAGCTTGTATCTTCTTTGCGATGGAATCACTTAATTTAATTATTACAGTCTTTTGTCATAAGATGATGATCTACAACTGTTAATCTAACAGTACATACATAAGAATGAGCATTTATACCAGTACTATGAGCACTGTTTCACTCACAGTATTGTGTGATCTCTGAGAAGTGCTCATGTCAGCAGTGAGCTTAGATGTACAGTATTCGGACTTTCGTTTAGGAAGCTATCATTGACATGGCACATTGACGCTTTTCGCTCCCTCACCCTGCGGAGTCACTGGCTTCTTTCTGGGCCAAAACCTTGTTTAGTTTCAGCAACTTTCTCTCTTTGGCTCTGCTGAATAATTCAGCAGCACAGCTCCTCATCACTAATTCAAAGGAGGAAGAGTGTATCTCACTGTGTACACGAGTGTGTGTGTGTGTGTGTGTGTGTGTGTCAGCTGTAACTATCTGTCTGTCATATGTTGTCTGTAGAAATACAGTATGCATGAGGAGTCTTCCCCTGACTGTGTGTGTGTGTGTGTGTGTGTGTGTGTGAGCCTAGAGTGGGTGAGTGACACTGCGTCAGTCTGTGGGAACCTGAGCTCTCAGCTGCAAGGGTGTGTTCTTCTGTTCGGGCCAAGGCTGCATCCCCATGTTTCCTGCCTCTAACTGCTTTCCAGTTGCCAACACATTTACATGGCTGGGTATCACCCCTGATTTTCCGTACTGATTCAATTTCGATTTGCAAGGAACACGCAAACAGCCGGGATTCGAACCCAGGACCTTCATGGCTGTTAGGCGACACGCTGCAAGTGTTCATATTGGACTAACAAGGCACCTTAATATGTGGCACCTTTAAATCTACACCGGAGAAGTAGTGTGTTACAGCCGTAAGACAGCTGCTCTTTTAAAAAATACCCCCTTTACTCTACAAAAATACAAAGAGTGTAAAGGATAATTTCTGTTAGAATAGATTCAAATCACAGCAGAGCAGATTAGGGCCATAGATTTATTACCATATACAAAACAAACCATGTATTTCATTTTTTAAGAATTATCTATTTTATATTTGTATTTGGGTCCGGTATTTGCCGATTACACCAGCAGTACACCAAGACTTGTAAACAGTCACATGGGCTCTCAATTAACTTGGTGATTGGACACATTTTCTGGACCAATTCTGTCATTTTCAGGCTACTTTGGGCTGGAATTTGTTCCTATTCTTATTGTGAACTAAAACCCCCTCAGTATTTATTTTCTTTCCTCTTATATAATCTTAATAGTCCCTCTTCAACCTGTCTCTTTCTCTTTATCTACAGTACAACCCCATCTTCAGGACTAAAGGGTATCGACGAGGTGAACTCACTCACCTCCCTGAGTCTGTTCCAAGGAAAGAGCAGGTGTATGCCCAAAGGCTGCATTGCTGAACACAGTGTGTCTATATGATAGATGTAACACATGCAAAGTCCCTCCGTACACATTGCCTTCAATTTTCAGCCTGATTTTCTTCTGTCAGGTTAAGTTATTATGAATTAGTGGACGAGTTATTGTACAGTATGCTGAGGATAAACAGTGTTAAGACCATGTTTTTGGATATTGAAATCTAGGTTTTTTACCTTTTATCTACACTTTTTCTTCATACAGTGGACTAGAATTTGTCTTGTACAGAAGCATATTGCGTTATTCTGAGATTCAGGAGGCTGGTTATAGGATTTGGGTTAGGCTCACGGGGGCTGTGAATCGGTGACCGGAGGTATCAGAGCAGAATTTGTTTTTAATTAAAACTTATCTCAGAATTATGAGATAATAACTTGTTAATTCGGAAAAATGAAGCAGACATTTCTTTTGAAGTGAATCCAATACGATCCCAAAGTCCTGGACTTAAAAATGTACTTAATTTAATTAACTAGATGCTCAAAAGATGCATTATCAAGTGGTCTGTTAGTTGTTCTAGAGAAACACTAAATAAAATGTTTAGGCCATGTAGTAATACCTGGAAAAGCGCTTTCATATTTCTGTCATCATGCAGGGCACATGGAAATTACAGTTTTAGTCTTAAGCCAAACAAAGAGGTGTAATGCTTTAAAAGGAGTGAAATTTATATTTTATTATAGTTAACAGCCAATGGGAAATTTGGTTCCCCAATATATTATTATATTATATATTTTTTGTCTTTATGTACACCGATCAGCCATAACTAAATCTGAGAGCTGCAGTTTGAATACACGAAGAAGCTGAAATCTGATGATGTGATGATGAGGCTATCTGCCCCTCCTAATCCCTCTTTCATTGTCCTCTCTCCCTCCTCTCCCTCTTCTTTTCTGTCTCTTTCTTTCCTTCTTACGTCAGACACACTTCTCTATCTCCTCCTCCCCCTCCCTCATTCATTCTCTACTACCTTTCATCCCCCCCACCCCTGAACACACGCACACACACACACACACACACACACACACACACACACACACACACACACACACACACCCTCTCTCCTCCTCCTTTTCCCTCATTCAATTCATTTATAGTCTCAAGAGGGGCATCAGGCTGTGACCCTCCCTGACCTCTGCAGTCATGAGACCTGTGTGTGTGTGTGTGTGTGTGTGTGTGTGTGTGTGTGTGTGTGTGAGTGTGTGTGCATGTATGTGGGTGAATTTGTGAGGCGTGTTTACTCATGTTAGCTGGCGTGTCCTTACCTGTCTGTACTGTGTGTGTGATAGCTCCAGTAAGAGGTGACAAAGTGACAAACAGAGATCCAGCCCCTGTCCTTTAAAGGAAAGAGGAGCAGTAAACCTATAAAACTACAAAAACATCATTCGGGACAAATCACTGTTCTGTCCGATCCCCTACTACCGGTCTCTCTCTTCGCCCCTCCTCTTTTCTTCCTCTTTTCCTCTGTTCCTCTGTCCAAACCTCCACTGTTTCTCTCTCTCTCTTTTCTCTCTGCTTTACCACTGCAGCAGCGTCAGGCAAGCTGGAGACAGAGAGTACAGCTGCCTGGGACTGCTGCAGAGAGGAAGAGAGGGATGGTTGAGGGGGTTGGTGTGTGTAGTGTGGGAGGGGAAGGATGAAACAAAAGCAGATGTAGAGGAGTCGTGAGCTCGGCTGTTAGTGGAGACCGGCGCGCCTCAATCAAACAAAAAACTGTTTTCTTCTGTTTTTCAGTCTCTATTTCCCTTCACACTCATTTTGACACCACTTAAAGCCCGCCTCCCCCCTCCACCTCCTCCAGCTCAGCATCATTAGCCGTGACCGGTGAGCCTGCAGGCGCTGCCTGAGTCCCCTGCCCCCAAAATCCCAATCCCAGTCTTTTGCTCCTCCCTCTCCTCTCATCCTCCTCCACTCCATCTCTCCTCCAACCAGCCAGGCAGCCCACTCACTCACTCGCTTGCCCACTCGCTGAAGGTGTAAGGCAGGGGAGGGGCATCCATGCACCGGCTTGGCTGCCAGCCATTTTATTGTTTTGGGGTGGATTTAAAATTTTTTTTGTTCCTTCTTCTTCTTCTTCTCTCAGTCATCCTCATTCTTGTCCTCTCCCTCGTCACTAATCCACCCCCGCCCCTCCTCTCTCTCCTGGTTGAGCGTACAGCGAGACCTCAGCAACACAGCAAGTGGAGAGAGAGAAAGAGAGAGAGAAAGAGGGGGAGAGCGCAGCCTCAGTTTGAAGTCTCCAGTCTGTCTCCTCAGCCTCCAGTATTGTTGTTGTTATTTACCCTCCCGCTTGGCATTTTCCTCTCAGCACACCTTTTGTGTGGCTGTCTCATGTTCAGCTCTCCAGAAGGCGCCTCTGTCTCTATCCAGCTCTCGCTCTTTCCTTATTCTGCTCATTCTCTCTCTTCATCTGGCTCTGCGGTGAAGAGAGTCTTTGCATGTGTGTGACGGCAGACCAGCGAGGATGCGGATACCAGCGGCTGCCTGCAGCTGCCACAATCCCGTGGGCTGTTCCAGTTAAACGTTGCCGGTAAACTGGTTATTCGCTTTACAGTTGGGGTTAGGAGAGATGGACGGAAGCGCAGGTGGAAATGTTGCATGCAGGTGTGAGGATGTGGATGACAGAGAGACGAGGGTGATGATGCTGACCTGAATATGTTGGTGATGCTGTCAGCGCTGGCTTGAGGTGTTTTTACTGTGTGTGTGCCTCAAACCGACATAGTCTGTGCGAAACGTTACTCTTTGATGAAGAGTGGAGGTGTGCGTGGGGTTTGTTTAGTGTGTGGGTGTGTGTTGATGCTGTGGACACTCTGATCTGTTGTGTTGTGTGTACATGTGAATTCTTGCCGCCATGCTTGTTGGTACACGTGTGTCTGCCTACATGTGCCTGCCGTGCGTCATTAAAAATTCATGTCTGTGTGTTTGACCTTGTATTTCCCACTGTATGTGGCTGGTGTGTTTATGTAAAGAACCTGTTTTATGGAGCTAATGAAAATGTACATGTGTGAATTATGATAAAGTAGTCTGCCTCTTATGCAATCAAACATGTGTTTCTCTTATGAACTGGACACACAATCACCACTTTGTGTGAGATTGTTTTAGTGTGTCCACCTCTTTTTAAAATAAGGAATCACTTTATACACACCTACAGTTATTTACAGTATATATGCTCATCTAGTACTGACACCTCTCTCTTTCTCTCTCTCTTTCCCTTCTCTTCTTCCCCTGCCTCTCTCGCCCAGCTGGGGGACTGGGTGTGTGAGAAGATGCTGATGGCGAGGGACAGCAGCCGAGACGAGACCCAGAAGCTTCACAAGAAATGGCTGAAGCACCAGGCTTTCATGGCCGAGCTGGCCCAGAATAAGGAATGGCTGGACAAAATTGAAAAGGTGAGTGCTGCCGGTCCTCCAAAAGGTGGAGTTTTCCTGCCTGGTACCTTTTTTCTCTCTTGCTTGAAACTTTACATGGTCATTCCAGTGTTCAGTGAGTTTCAAGCTGCCTTATAACAGGATAAAGCAGCACTGTGGGATGTGGAATAATGCTTTTGTGTATTGTATTGTGTAGTATTTGTGTTTCTTTTGATAGTAAGCAGTGGAGGATGTCAGGATAGAGACGGGGACAAGAAATCAAGAAATAACATTGTGAACAAGTGAAGTCAAACAAGTAATTTGTCTGGACTTGGGCACACTTAGCTAAATATTATAACTTGTGCATCGATAGTTCATTGTGAAGAAAGAATACAGGGTTAGACAACAAATGTAAACAATTGTCTTAAAGTATTTTTGTTGTTGTTGCAGTATGTGTTGATACTGCAGATTGATTTATTTATTATTGAATTATTGTGTAGTTTTGTTTGTATCAGTGTTACTACGACATGTGCACAGATGATTTTCCTCTCTGAAGCTTTGTTTGTTGTCATACGTTGCTTTGAACAGTCATATATCCAAGTGCTGACTACCAGGAGCCTTTGTGACAAAACGTTATTGCAAATCTTTCAATTTTGATGAAGCATCGTCAGAGATGAAGTCTATACTCATCAACTGTTTACATTATTTTGTCCACCCCAAATAGATAGGAAGGGTATGCAGACTTTAAGAAATTTCTCCACTGAGTCTACAGTTTATAATATGAAGAGATGAATAGAAAGTAGAAGAACAAATAAAAAGGTACATATCTTTGTGTTGAATCATACAGTAGATGCCAGCTAGCCTACTGTGCTAATGGTTAGCGATAGAAAACAATGTTGATTTTAGGTGTATGAGAATGACCGAACTGGAATTTGGAAAGATTAATAGCAGTTGCCAAACATCTGTTTGGAGATTTATTCATGTAATTTTAAAGAGAAAGTGACCTCGTATGTCTGTTTCCCTTCAGACAGACATCACTGATGTAAACAAAGCGTGGACATCAATCATCAGAGTTACACATCCTTTCATTACCCAGTGTCACGTTTATTTAAAACTGTTTTACACAACACTAAAGCTGTACCACTAAAGCACTAAACTCACTTAATGAAAGCGTAACAAAGCCAGTGGCAAGGGCAGAAAGTATTAAAGAGGGTTTTTAAATAGCGAGGGGGGGGGGCTGTAACCTTCACCACTTCTCTGTGTCCCGATAGGATCTGTTTCATATTAAGGAGATTTATACAGCACATCAGCCTCTTGTCTAAAGCTGCAGTCGACACAGACGTAATTGGGTTAGCCAGTGTTTCCCCAGCTGCACGTCCAGGTTTCACTGGGATGACTTTGGGCTGTTGTGTTCACACGTCTGACTGGCTGCAGTGACGTGAATCTGAATGTGTAAGATCCGAAGTGCTGGTCAGTAGAACTGTAGTTCAGTGCCACGTTCCCTCGGGCCGCTGATCTGTGATCCTATTTTAAGGCAAAGTCACACTGTGTTGTGTGTTTGTGTGTTTGTGTGTGCGTGTGCGTGACTCTGTATTTGGCCTGTGAGAGGCAGTGAAGGCGATAATTGAATGACATTTGCTCATGTTATAATACTACAGATGGCCTGAGATGTTATGTTGCTGTCTGTGTTGTCAGTAGATTTCTGCACCTCTCCGGTTTAATTGCTTGTTGTGATCCACAGAAAATATGAACAGTTTTTCTGCTAAATGTGTGCTCAAGGGTTGTGTTCGTACGTCAGAAGAAACTTTACTTTTAGGCCACAGGGTAGAGGGAAATATATTAGAGATGATGTTCAGGGTTTATCTGTGTATAGCACAGTTATGGTCTCCATGATGTTAACAGTTGGTTGCTAGCCATCAGCTGTCTCACTGTGCCTGTTATCAGTACAAAATATAAGATATTGTATGTGATGGCCCTTCGGAGTGAGTTACAGTGAGGGGCTGCTGAAGGAGTTTTGACAGGACACATGGAAGCTGATGACCCCATATGGGCTGTTGTAGAAAATGTGACTGTGAAAATAGCAGGCTGTGTGTATGACATAAACAAATCTTGGCTGTTCATCGGTTCTGAGGAAAGCCAAGGATTGAGACTACATGTATTATCATATAGCTCAGCACTTAGACAGTACTACTGTCTGAAACCATAAATATTGCTATACTGAGTGTGCTGCTTTGATGGTGCATTGACTGTGGCATAATGGCTCGATCCTCTGCAGTCTCATCCTGGGCAGGGCTGAAACTGAACTCCCCTGGTGGGAGCAGAGTGATGGAGACAAGGCACAGCACTGTTTTATGTATTATCTGTGCACTTACTGTGATACACACATTGGAGTGATTGAGACTAGAGCTGAAATTAATCAGTTAATATCAGTTGATTTTAACTATTTTAATCTATTTATCAAACATAGATGCCAACCATTTGAAGATTGCAGCCTAAATTTGCTGATTTTCCTTTGCCTTAGATTAAAGTAAAATAAATGTCTTTGGGCTTTGGACTGTTGGCCCGACAAAAGAAGCTATTTTAATCTATCACTCTGGACTCTGGACATGGTGATGTGGGATTTTTTCACTATTTCATGATGTTTTAATAGATCAAACAGTTAATCAATGAATCAAATAGTTGAATCAATAATGAAAATAATTGTTAGTTGCAGCTGTAATACAGGTATATGGGCTGACATAATTACAAACAACAGTTAAGTAATACGCCATAATGCAGCTTAAAACAGATATATTAGACATTTTCCAGTCAGAGCCATTAGAAAAAGATGTTACATGAATTTGTGCAGAAATCTTGTTTTGGTGGGGTGCGGGGAAGCTTACCTGGTAGAGCGTAGGTTGAGTCCTTACCGCAGTGCCCCCGGTTCGATTCCAACCTGCGGTCCTTTGCTGCATGTTGTCCCCTCTCTCTCTCCCCCTTCTCCTGTCTATTTTCACCTGTCCTATCAAAATAAAGGCATAAAAAGTCCAATTAATATCGTGTTTTGTACGGACGTTTGTTCCAGGGTATCTGGTAATTTGAGGGATTTAAAGAAATTAAACCTCCCGACCTGCTCGCAGACTCATCACCACCCAACCCCTATCATCTTAAACATGTTCAATATTTAGGAGTTCAAAATCTGGATGATCACATCGGTGTGGAAGTGACTGAGTGCGGTAAACCTTTTAGCCCTTGAGGCTAACGTTAGCTAGCATACTACTGTAGTCAGACATTAAAGTCTCACCTCCAGTTCTCGCTGGAGAACAGACATATTACACTTCTGCTTTTGTTTTTTTCTCACTGCAAAGAATGAATGTTACTACAGAAAGTTGTTCTGCTATGTCAGTCTAACCATTTCACGTGAGGTGGTGCATTGCTCCCTCTGACACGATAATCTAATAATAAAATATAAACCGTAACATCCTGTAGTGTGTCTGTGTTTGAGATTAGGGAGAGGAAAATCTGATGCTACTTGATTTCAGAATCGATTAGAATTTTAAAACTTTTGTAGTTTTGCTGAGGAGCTTCAAATAAACCAGTGAAGTCATCTCTCCCTCCTTGTCCAATCAGCTCTCTGATCACTTTAACACTGTGGTTGTTGGCTATACAGGCAGGCAGCTTCACCCACTACTGGCCTATAAGCTGCTCATTATGTCTAATTACTGTATGCCTGTATCTGAGAACCCAGTCATTTCTCTCTATTTCTTCTTCTATAGTAGGCATTGTGAAGTTGGTGTGTGAGAGTATGTGTGCATGCGTGCGTGTAGTGTGTGTGTCAGCAGGTGTATGCATGTCTATAACGTGGGCACATGATGTGGGGAAATTGGCTGACTGATGTGTAATGATGTGCAGTGATATAATGTAGAGAGAGCAGCACAGCGAGGCCTGAGAGCACCGAGCTGTTTCCATTATAGATTCATAGGTTGGGTTACTGGAAAATGCTTACAGGAGGAGAGAGAGAGAGAGAATGACAGTGACAGAGGAGGAAGAGGAGGAACACTGTGGTTTCTTGTTATAATTTATTCTATTATGTTATTTTAGATAGTGATGAAAAAAAGGTGGATTGTTTGCATAAACAATGTAAATAATTGACGTGATAACAGTTCAAAAGTGGCGTTGGTTGTCTAAAATGTTGTCTGTAAAAGAGAATCTGCTGTTGCTCTGATGTATAAAGGAGTCCATTGTGGTTTTTACGCCCACGAGCTGAAGTATCAGAATATTGCTAAATGCATTTCTTTGTTTGCATCTTCAGATGAAAGTGTGTAATTTGGCTGACAGTAAGAAACAATAACAACCTACTCAACACCAAACAATGCTTTAATCCTAAAATACTTTCCTTTCTATGTAGATTCTTTTTAGTTTTTTATAATAAATGCCCCATCTTTATTGCAAATAGCCCGACTTGGCTGCTTGCAACCATATCAAAGGTGTTAAGAGTAGAGACTTTTATGAAGCTTATTCACACTGTAGGATGAGTCTCCTTCTCCATCTTAACCAGCATGTATTTAAAACACGCTCAAAATCTGTATTAAAACTATGTGGATGGAAAAAAATGTCAGCAGAGAGAGGGAGAAAAATATGGTCACGTTACATTTTTTTTACACACATAAGCAACTGCATGTATCTTTATAATAGTACACTATGATCCTGTGTTATACAGAACACTGCTGCTGAAGCTGAGAAGATAAAGGGTGCGACAGCACTTTTATTTTTATTGCAAGAAAGGATTTATCACGATGCAGGTAGAGGAATTGGCCTGTAAGACATTGTAAGAAAAGTTTGTGTGTGTGTCTACTGTGGATGTGTACTTCTTTCTTTCTGAGGATCAATTCCAGACATTAACAATGAGGACATTTTTAGAAAGTTGAGACATTTTGGCTCATCATCTCTTTTTCAAATAACTATTTAAGGATTTGGTTTTTGGGTTACGGATAAAATTAGGTTTACCATGGAGTTAGATATTAGACTATATGGTGCCAATGTGATCCTCACAGGTATAGAAG